CACCGGACACAGCCATATATATACAGGGTGCTCTAAATAAATGTGAACACTTTTGAGAATTGCAACAATACCACAAGAAATGTGCCTCCGGGCTCTGGAGACCACCTGGAGAAGATTCCAGGCACGTGTTAACAATGATGGCGACCAAGTAGAGACTCTTTGACTTTTTTAAAGCTATAAACATACATTTGTTATCATGTTACATTATATGATCCGTTCTTTTTCCATTAAAAACGATAGGCCCGTATAAGTGTTAACATTTTTTGAATCGCACTGTATATGTGTAGTGACTTGGTCGGAGACGCGAAGACTTGGAGGCACTTATTTAGATTTAACGAGCACCCTCGGCACAATACACACCCTACGCTGGTACACGCTCTTCTGTCGTTCGCTTATACACAACTCTACGTGGGTTTCAAGCCTATACACAACGCTAGCCGTCTGACCCTGACGGCGCTGAACCGAGACAGCCAACTACCGTCTAGCAGCGCAATATCGAGTGAAGATGACAGCGACGATGGCGACGAGACGACAGCGACGATGGCGACGAGACGACAGCGACGATGGCGACAAGACGACAGCGACGATGGCGACAAGACGACAACGACGATGGCGACGACCTTCAACAGCACGAGGGGGATCCCACGCCAAACGACAGCCCCGAGCTCTCGCTCAGGGCCCCCCTTTTATGCCCCCAGCGTGGCCTCGCTCCGCCCCGGCCACTCCCCTTCTCTAGAACCTACCAGCGGGTTCCCGGGCTTCCCCCACGTGTCCCTTCTGTAACCACTTCCCCAGATATCTCCTCTGGTGTATCACGTGGCCTGCTGACGTCAGGGCTGCTGTAAGCCGCAGGTCCCCTTCCCCGCCAGCAGCCAGCGCTATGCTGCTACATGGCTAATTCTATGTCACTACATCTGTATATAAAGTAATGACGTGAATAAATACAGCCATTTTTATTACATCACCACACACGATGTGTGGGAGAGCTATCCAGGTGCAACACCTGCTTTGCTTAACAACAAGACACCCAAGTGTTAAGTTATGTAGCCCCTACAATCACTGTAGGTACATCGTTGTTCAGTGTTGTGAATTGCTCTCCAGCGTACGGTGTGCTCAAGCAATAACATCAGGCCTGTTTGTTCACTTGCCAAACTTTATTTATTTGTACCGTGTCAGGTGGCGGAGGGTGTACGACACACATCGGAATTTTACTCACGTGGCGATCTAACAGGACAAAAATATCTGTTACGATTCAGGTTGCAGTGAATTTGTCTGGACATGACAGGTAGTAACATTTTCCTATTTTCATATTTGTTCATGTAAACAACAATAGGTAAAACATGCAAATGTAGTTTTTATCTAAGTAGTGGAATGTAACTCATATTTGTCGGATTTTATTCACGGAGGTTTAAAGAACCCACCCAAAATGGCACCTTAACTGAGTAACACTATCACCAGGCAATTTTATGAAAAGTATATCAAATGTTTGCAATGTACGTAAAGTAAAATAACTTTGTTTAGCTTATCTCGAATTCATTCCTGAATTGAACCACAGTTCCGGATTATAAAACACCCCTAAAAAAAGAGACACGCACCCAAAATGTGTGCCCCGTGTCACTGAAGTTATACAAATCTGGTCTCACACATACAGCTACCGGATAATAAGATGCACCCCCAAACATTGGTTTTCAAAGAGAGAAAAGTGCGTCGCATGAAAGGCGGAGCGAAAGGTACATTCTAAAATGCATAAAAGAATCAGAGCACTGTACGTGAGTTTTCTGTTAGCATAGTTTGTCTTGTTTATACAGATCAAGGGGGCTCTTGTCATTCTCGTCATAGCGCTGTTAATTTGTAGCTTCTGTTCTAATGACAGCGTGCCATCCCAATCTTTGTGATCATTCTCAAACTGCATACACTCGTAGGCGCTCGCTAAGAGCGCTTGCCTCAAGAGTCTGTTAAGGCAATAGGTTGTGGGCTGGGGAGGTCTTTGTCATGAGTACAATGGGAAAGACTGAAGTGCATTGCATTAAGTGAATATAAACGTCAGGAGTTACGACAGCATGGCTCGTACGTTCGTGGCAACATGGGCTGTGTGTCCCGTGGGCATGGCCCGAGTGATGACATGACAACACAGCATTTCATCACGTTTCAAGCGCGCCTATTTGTGGCATGGCGTGGTGTAGGCAATGGATCCATTAAGAATCCTTCACGAATCTGCGAAGCAATTCCAGTTACAGCCCAGTGGCTTGTTCAAGCGATGTGGCCCCCACCCCTCCACACACACTGTGCATCTTTCACTGAGGGCACAACGACCATTCGTAAACCACACAAGTTCAGAACACTCATTCCTCATTCACTGTTCCTTTAGTAAGCCATTGCCCCCCGTCCCCCTCATTCACGTTGCAAATACTCGACGGGGGGGGGTGGTGGGGGACAAAAATCAGCCAGCCAGTGTCCCCGATCTGGGAAGCTTCGCAGTGCCGCCCCTGGATAACTTACAATTTTTGAAGATGAGCTGGGATTGGGCCTGAATAGCGGATCGAGCTTGGATGCAAAAACCACGAGGTTACAGGATGAGTGTGGGGTAATTTGACGGGCAGCAGAGGGACAATGCACAAACACCCATTGCTCTGCTCCTACATTCTACGTTTGCCGCGTTCACAAACTCACACTGACCGAGGGTGGTCAAAGTCTGGCCCAACAACCCCCATTACCCAACATAGCTTGGGGGTGAGACCATCACTCAGCACTGGATCGACAGATGGGTTTGGCAGGTGAGTTGTGCGTGTATATTGTTGGCAGGACTTTCATAAGGGTGGTGGAGTGGCCCCAACATTGTATTTTATAGTCATTCTGATAACGATTCCCTCCGTAGCTGGTTAAATTAATCATAACCTCTTACTACAAGTAAAATTGGTGTTTTTTTACATTAAATCCCGAGATGATTACAGCCAACTATTAAGTGAAAATTTAATGACGTATGTAAAGTAATGTGCTGTTTTTGAAAGATAACAGTGTCACAAAAGCTACGTTTAGGCTCTTAATCATACGTACGTGTAACTGCACTCTTGTGCATCTAAATGAAGGCAGTATAGTACAGCAAATAGTGGACTCCACCTGCTCCATCTGTATGGAATAGAGTGTTTCCCCCTCGCATACGTAGGTTTTCTCAGGATGCTCCAGTGTTCTCCCACATGTGAACAACCATTAATTGGCCAATAATTGGCCAATAACACCGTCATATATGGAGGACCGCAGACCTTGGGCGATTGCTGGTGCCCGCTCACCACGTGACTGCCTTCCTGCTTGTCTATAGTCCCTCATGCCTCCAATACTGTGGGCGTTACAAGTTGAAATGTATTATTATCTTGTTGGACAGAACCTCGTGAACACGTTACAAACCTCGATGCATGTGCCCTCCTCATGGGTAACATCTGCCGCCCTCTTATCTCCCCTCAAGTGTTTGTTTTGGAACAGCACCAGAAAGCCTTCGTTACTCATTAACCGCTGCGCGCTCCATTTGCGAGCCGCTGGGAGAACAGTTTTGTTGTTGCCCAACTCAAACGCTTTATCTGGCTCAAGAGACAATTCAAAGGCAAGAATCAAACGCGAATGCAAATGCCCAAATGTGTCTTCGGTAGCACGAAACTTAACACGAATCCCAGGGTGCTTTGCACCACAGTGTTGTGTTCATCTGTTGAAGTCAAGTTTTTACATAGATAGCATATTTTTATTTATTTATGGATGCACAAACATACACGAGTGATGTTGACACTCGTAACTCGGGTTGCCACCTCTGAGGTGCAAATAAACGGCGAGATGTAATTGGACGAACATCTGTCAATTCCAGAAGAGCGGAGAACCACAGGTAAACTTTTTTGTTAACTAGATAAGGCCCACTGAGTTGTAGAACTCTTTTTCAGAAGCAACCTGGCCACAAATTAAGGAGCAGCGAAGTGGCTTATCGTGTGGAAATTGATAGCATCCAAATACTGTAAACGCATTGTCCTGAATGTGAAGGACCCGGAGAAAAATCCACGCAACCACGGGGAGGACATGCAAACTGCAAATATACAGCAGGCGTCAGGGTCGTTATCGAACCCACGACCTCCTGTACCAGGCGAGGTAGATACCATCCTGCCACCCTGACACCTTGAATGTTTTGTCTCTTGTGGTGTATTATTGCCCCAACCGAAAATAATCCTTGAATTTGTATAATTTAGGACAGCATCCTTGAAGTCAGGAGTATGAGAAAATCAGGACTGGAGGAAAACTTAGACGTAGCTAAATTAAAAACTCAACTTTTTTAGAACTGATTTTTGTATTCAGTTTGTTGTCCACCTCCGATTAGCACGGTTGGCTACATACGGTGCGAAAGAAGTTTAACATACATCCATACATACGTAACAGAGACAGATTGCTGTCACAACATATTACATGCATACTGGATATGCATTTTTTTGATCGTTCCTGTTTTTTTTTGTAATCTAAATAGCATTTACAATCCACAGAGTATGTATATATACTGTGCATGTATTGTTTTTTTATTTACATATTATATAGGGTATAGCATTTTTACTCAATTGCTGACTCTATCATCGTAAATGCGGCCTACTTGTATATCCATCAAACCCATAAAGGCCAACATCCATTTGAATCAAGTTTTACGTACAGAGTTGTGTTTATTTAAAAAAAATAAGCAGATGCATCATGGAGCTTGTAAGCAAAAGACAAAACCAATGGGCAAAGGTGCAGGCCATGCAATTGCCTGCTGATATCACTGCTGAGAGAAGGCTCTCCACTAGAGGGGGAATGAGTTTTCAACAAAGTTCGCTAAACAGTTGCAGAAGACGCTAACCTCACACAACTTTGGTGAAAAGACAATCTTCGACACTGTTGTTGGTCATGGGGGCATTATCACAGATGAATACACGTGATTTAAGACTAGAACGTGCTTATTACAGTACTAACTTGGGGTTTCGTACGTTCGCATTTCGTAGCAGTGCGCGGCTCGTCTCACCGAAGTGGAAGAATTTCAAGGGTCTAAAGCTGCTGTGGAGAGACAAGATCCGACTGAACAATGCCATCTGGCGAGCCTGGCACATACAGTGTAAGTCTCTGCCTTGACAGGTGCGTTGAAGGCACCTGGAGGGTGGTTTGCAAATGTGCACAAAAGCTTGCAACCTTCATTGACAAAATCTCAACACATTTTTCCCAGAGACCGATAGATGAAGAGGAGAGGCGGGGTGTTAATTAGGGCAACCTTGCCATCCCGAAAATGTATGTGTTATTGATATATACCTAAAATCGGTTCTAGGCTTGAATTTCGCAGTCACCCCTAAACACATCCCAGTGGATGATATCATTGCCCAGGTCGACGGAGCCCTTAAGGGTTTAGGACACATCACTGCAGACTTGGCAAGATCGGAAATCGCTGCAATCCTCAAAAACATCGTCATCCTCTCAGCCGACAAGGGCAATGCCACAATCATCATGGACAAAACCACATATAGTAACAACATTCTGGACCTACTTAATGATGGTAGCTATACCACAATTGAAAGAGATCCTAGCAACAGTCTCGTTACGAAAACCAACAATATCATCACTGATTCGACATCTTTAATCGAACCAACCAAGCGGTTTTCCTTAAAACCATCTGCTGCTAGACCACCCAGATTGTATGGCTTACCAAACATCCATGAAGAGGGTACGCCCCTTCGTCCTATCGTCTCCACCATTGACTCGCCCACCTACAAACTGGCCCGATTTCTGTCTGAGACATTACAACCATTCACTGGTAAGACCACCTCAGCTGTACTTAACTCAGCTCACTTGGTAACGTTGATTAAGGACATCTCAACTATATCCAGGTGATTTTCTCGTTAGTTTCGATGTAGTCGCTTTGTTTACCAAAGTTGCAAAAATTTATCCCACAGAGCAAACATATGGAGGAGTACTTATGAAAATTAAGGAAAATCCGTATATCCTGTTACTTTCAGTCACTTACATGAGCAATGTGTAGGAAGTAATCTTCGCAATCAATAGTGGCAGGTGTAATGTTTGCGGAGTGCAGTGGGTGGAGAGATTTGATGTCATTCACTGACGTGGTGCTGGAGAGCGTCAATTGCTTGCAAGGTTGTTCGCTTGTTGTGATTGCCTGGTGGCTCAGTGAACTTTTGCCAAAAGAGCCCCCCCCCCTCCCACCGCTGCTTTTAGCGCAGAGTTCAATTACGCGCACACTCGCCAGTTTCCCCACTCACTCGCAGCAAACACACAGTGCAGTTGGCTGCACGTGGACGGATCGCTTTAAGTATCTCCGAGGCTAATGTTACCGGCGAGGCAGGCGTGAGGCCAATTACGGGGCAGACGTCGTTGTCAGTTCCATGTGCCCACGCTCACGCCCAGGAGGTAAAACATTAACCCGTAAAAACAAAGTTTTTCACTATAAATCCTTTATATGCGTGGCATCGGTTTTATTTTGAGTGTGTTGACACACATCCAGAATAATTTTCTGTGTTTAGGAAAAATATATGATTGTGTTAGTGAAATTTATTTTTTCCTAAAAAGTGTAAAATTTTGGGAAAAAATTTTCACGAACATTAATTGTCACGCCATAGAGTCTGTGTGGAAAATGTCAGCTCGATTGGATCACGGGAAGTGGGTTAAAAAACGACCGAAAGATTTGCACGGTCGTAAGCAAGCAAGCAAACTTAATATAAAGGATTTAAAAACAACAGCAGTTTACTATGAGTATTGCACAGGTAAGTACCGGTGCAGCCCGTTTGTCAGTCCAATTACGAACGTGCAGACACTGATGGTTATTTGACCATACTTCACCACGCTGGTCAGTGCAGGTTGGTGAAGGTGGGGAGGATCACATAACGCCAGTGGATGTTGTTGCACTGCCCACTACTGACAACCACGCCTTACTGCACCGGTCTAATGTGCATGGTGGTGGTGACCAATCTAAGCACTGTCCAGGCTCAACCCTGCTCAATTTCTGAGGTCTGATGGAATCGGGGTGCATTCTGGGTAATTACATTCAGTAATGTGTTGCTTTAATTATCTACATCTCGAATGAAAAATCAATATACCACAGGATGGACTGCGTTATCTATTTATCAGCACACGTTACCGTTCTCAAATTGGCAGAGCCCCCTTAGCCCGTTAAACCTCACACTTCCAGCCCAGCTTCCTCACGTCTCTCCATAACAGAGACGTATCTCGTACTCGCAAGCAAAATAATTAGCATTCCTGAAAATGTAAAAAAAAAAAAAATCCACATTGCAATACTATGGAGTGGGCTTATCCACATTACAGTACTGAGATCCTGGTTTTGCATCTGGGATTCAGCCACACATTAACACATTCCTGCGGAGGGAGCTGGTAGGAACGTTGGGTTGCTCGGTCAATGGCCAGGGTCAACGGCGGCGTGGTGTATTCCGCAAATATGCCCGACTGTGAGGTCGGGCACAAGCCGGCGTGAGTAGATTAAACGTTGAGTTTTATAAGGGCACCACGGGGTGACCAGCCCCTCCCCACCCAGCCCCACCCCTCCCACCCCCCACCCAGCCCCACCCAGCCCCTCCCCACCCTCCCCACCCAGCCCCACCCTCCCCACCCTCCCCTCCCCACCCAGCCCCTCCCTGCACGACGGACACAATAATCCCCTGTGGGCTGGTGTAACCAGGAGGTTCCTACCAGTATTAAACTGGATTCTCAAGTATAGAGAGTTGATGGTCTCATAACCAATGACTGCACGCAATAAATAAAAAAAAACCCTATCGTATGGACTTCGGTTTGCCACTTGATTTGGCAAATTTTCACCTCTGAGAATTACACATTTTTTACATTGACAGACATCTCATGCAGGTCTCCTTATGGCAGGGTGTGCAGGAAAGTAAGAGGACTCCTGGTGGCGATAGGCGGTCACTTGAAGGGCTGTCAAAATTAACCTCTGCAATAATTCCTTCTCCCCTCGAGGTGATGGATCCCTTTGCAAGAGTTCCAAATGGACATTTCATCTCACGGTGATGCCGAGAGCACATTTGGGAATGCGTTGTAAAGAAGACGAATAAGTATCGCAGCAGTTTCGCTGAATTTGCTTTTTTTTTCGCGTGGAACTATTTGGTAATAGCCTACGAAGAGCGCACAACTTAAATAAACACCCCCAGGCAAGCAGGCCTAGCACAAATAAAATCTGAGAAAACGTGTTTAAATCACTGTTAACGACTAAACGTGATACACAGTGCATTAGCGTTCGTAGAAAAACGAAGTGCTTGGCATTAAAGGGCTGGGGTCGTTAAGTATTAAAGTGCTTATGTGATAAAGCAATAAAAACATTTTAGTTGCAGTGCAGGAAAAAAGAAGTGAAGTCGTGTTAATCAGCCAAAGCGATAATGGCCCACCACCGATACTCGTGTCAGTTTATCGACTCTCTCTCTCTCTCAATGGGATGTCATAAAACACATGGACCGCACACACGCTAAGAAATGTCAAAAACTCACCGCTGTTCTTTGTTTTACGTCTCGTTTTATTTGCCACGACGCAGATGTGGAGCGACGCGATAACCCCGTGTGCCACTTCGTCACGCCGCTCGATGGACACGACGCCCTCGTGCATCTTAAGCCAGAGGTAATTTACGCCGCTGTTCGTGTTATTTTTGGAACGATAAGCCTGATTATTTCGTGTGCTATCATCGTCATTATTATTCAAATGCACTCATAGCCGCTACATTAGCACGCTTGGCTACGTACGGTGCGAAAGAAGTTCAACATATGTGCGTACATTGGTGATGGTGAGAAGGGGTTCACGAATTGTAATGCAACATTTGGCGAATTAAAATGTTAAATGTTTTGTTAAAATTGTCAATCCTGTCACACTGTACGAAATATAATGTAATTGTTAAAAAAACACATGACCGAGTTTAGATTTGTTGACGATAATTTCATATTTTTGCTTATACTTTTATCAAAGCAGAGTAATACGCTGTTTAAATCAAAATGGGCCTTTCTTTTATTCATGAATGAATGAAGTAACTTCATGTTTTTCAGAAGAGAGAAGATTATCTTGAATGGCCATTTCTGGTATTGTGTGCTGTGATTAATGCATTATTTCCAATGGTGTCCTGATCATAATGGTCTGTAGTCGGGTGGAATCCACCCCATAAAACTTATTTCAGCTAAAACCCTATACACTACGTGTCTAAATGCGTGTATTTGAGGAATAATAAAGGACGATTACATTTGTATCCTATTCGAAAGTGGGATACGCTATTTTGGAAGGTCATGCGTATGTTTTATCCATCGTACTGATTCTCAAAAGAACTTTTATTGGAAGCACATAACTTATTCGAATAGAAAAGTTAATTGGAAACTTGGTAAACGACGTGTCACGCAAAAAGATGCTTTGCACGTTGAGCTCAAATAAGAAGCCTGCTCTAAGATTGGCCCAAGCAGTTTCTAAATGTTCTAATAAGTACCATCTTACCTCCTCCTCGCCCTCACGCTGAGCAACAGCAGCTGACGATGCTGTTCTTACACTCAGCGCTTTCCATTATGATCCCCTAATAGTAGCCTGGGGAGAGAGCAGTGTGCTCTAATGGCTAGCGCACTGCGCCATGCACCAGGTGACCTGAGTGTGTTTCTCTCAATGGCAAACATCAGTGGCGAGTGATATCTGAATCAGCCCTTGGGCTTTAGCCCCTTTCAATCAACTTTTTCTGACCAGGCTGGTGATGTATGGTCCAACAACACCCCAATAAGCCAAACGTTCATCAGCCGTGGATTGGCTGGAAATTAAACAAACGGTAACCTTGGGTGTGCTGTGGCAGGCAAATATACTTGAAGGAAAGTACTGGAAGAGGCGCATTGAAATTGTCATCAAGGAATACCACAACTGGAGGATCTACTTCAAAAAACGGGTGAGCAAATGCGTGTGAGCCTCCATTGTGTGTACATTCAGTGAGACCTCCCACACAACGGCGGGTGGCGTGAGGAGAGATCACAGAAGTGGGAAAAATCGATGTGGAACGAAGAGTTTGGCTCGAGCGCCGTTCAGGGTTCTAGTTTTGGAACTGCTAAAACTGCGGCAGGAAAATTGAGTCAGGAGCAGGGGCGGTTTCTTCATTAGGGCGATTGGGCGACGCACCACCAATCTCATTCAACCACAGAGTTACGCGAGCCGTTACTGTGCCTCTGGATATAGTCCAATCAGAGTCATGTCACGTTCTGTGGAGTACCGCCTCTTTTTGGGCGATTTCACTCTGGCTGAGAATCGCCCAGAGTGTTCCCATAGACTTACATTCAAAGATGTTTTTTTTTCGAACGGCGGGCGCTGCAATGCATTCTCTACGGCTTCCGGGAGGGCTCGCACTAACGTGCTTACGTCATCATACGTAAGCACGTTTCAGTCAACAATATTATTTGTCGCCACCTAGTGGAATATTTAATAAAAGAAACTGAGTGGATTGTAATAATAGTGAGTATAGAAACAACGAAGATGTATTGTTAGAGTCACTTTATTTTTCATTAATATTAAAGAAGTGAAGTTGCCTTTACATGCTTAAGCTGTTAATTTATCCATTGCATGGATGGACCTTATTCTTATCAATCATCCAGACATTTGCCCCCCCTGAGAGATGTTGCAGGAGCCGCCACTGGTCAGGAGACATCTCACACGAACTCGGCCTGCAGTGCGGTTCATTTGTTTTTATTAGTGGAAGAAATCTACGGCGTCATTACTTTACAAAGGGAATAATGCCCCTCTTAGGATTGTTGTAGAATATTGTTTTTGTCAATTATATGTGGTCACAATGTTACTGACCAGAACATCTATAAATATTTGTTACTAAGAGTACTTTGTGTACAGTGCCATAACATGTATATATATAGCTCTGTAGCCTTTGACCAAATGGGTCTCGATGGTGCTCTGATAGATGAACATCATTCACAACGGGTGTTCTAGGCTGTAGGGCTGTATGGTGGGCAGCAGAGGGCAGTGCATACAACCCATCGTCCTGTACTACGGTACTATGCTCTCACAGCGATGCTCTCTGCCTTGACCAAATGGCATTGACCAGCACGGTGAAGTATGACCAAATAACCACTATGACCTGCATCGTGTGGGGAGGCCCTCATCCAGCAGTGGATTGACAGTGGCTTGTACATGTCTATTCCTTCTTTGATAAATCCTAACCCCCGCATTCAATGAATGACTAAATTATAACCTAGTGTTTAAACTCATAATAATTTACTACTATAATGAGCCAAGAATGTCTGTGTGTCCCACGTATGACGTCACTCCACGTCGACCAGCCCCCCTCATTAATAATCATGAACAGGTGACGTCACTCCTCATGGAGAAACCCCCCTCATTAATAACCATGAGCAGGTGGCGTCACTCCACATCAAACAGCCCCCCTCATTAATAATCACGAACAGGTGACGTCCTCCAAATGGACACCCCCCCCTTCATTAATAATAATTAGCGGGTGACGTCACTCCACATGGGGGGGGGGGGGGCGAGGCGCCTCCTCCCCCCTCCTCGGCGTCAACTCACAACCCTCACTACAAAGGCAGAAGCCTCACGCCACGTGATCTCCGTAACGCTGTTGAGACATAGAAGTAAAAAGGACGTCACGATGAACAAGGGATTGTAACCTTAAAATGAAATAGGTCTGTGTCACCGCACCCTTACAAATTGCACACGAATTGATGCAATAAATATCACGTCGCGGGCTGCTTTGCGCTTGCAAGTTTCAGATTTACTGCAATACACCCGTCCTTGGACGGGCAAAAGGCGAGTAATGATAATAACAACAGTATTATAATATGTTAGTTTACGTAATTATCCACAAAGACCACACTGAATCATAGGACTCTTTTCAGGAGGGTCCTGCGTTGGGTGTTTTTTTTATCATAAGATGCTTTCAGCCAATTAATATTGAGAGTTTATACTCATAAGTGGGCGAAAACCAGCGCACCCAGAGAAAACCCACACGTTCGAGGAGGGCAACACTCTCTCACCGTACAGACCGAAACAGATGGCGATTGGTCCCACTTGCTGCGAGCCAGGCTATGGCACCTCGACGCCCAAGGGAATGGCGTTTCGCAACATTTGTGCAATCCGCCAACCCATCTCGCTGCCTCCAGAGTGCCGTATTACAGGCGGGCGGCGCCACCAACGCGGGAACGTTGTCGGCAGAGCCGGCCCAGCCACTAAGCGACCCTTGCAATTGCAAAGGGCCCCGTGGCCAGCAGAAGGCCCCCTAGAGTCACTGCTAGCGAGTGGGTGAAAAAAATCATACATCAAAGGGGCCTCCAACCAAATTTTGCTTAGGGCCCCCAAAGGTCTAGGGCCGGCTCTGGTTGTCAGAGATCTCTTCCACCTCCTGAGGCTGAAGGCTCAGCCCATCGGAGCTCCTGAACACCGGCTGGGTTCTAGGACTTGAGTTATGTTCGCTATTTCTGTTTAGTGGCTCGGTTTAGCACACGTACAAAAAAAGGCACGTGCTGCCTTTCATCGGCCTATAACGTAATTTCAATTGTAGCCAATTATGTTAATGAATGTTCTCAATAAAAAAAATTGCGACTGACAATTTAAGTAACTTTATTACGGTGCCTCACGCTATTTAAACTTTGATGCATTTGCAGAGAGTCAAGGATGATGAGCTGGCAAGTCTCGCCAAGGTTGGTAATTGCACGTGTAAATCATTTTTGAACCGTGTGCCTCAGCAGCATGCCAGTCAACTCCATTTGTCAGTGGCAGTAATAAGGGAATGTTTTTGTTTCAACGATAAAAAAACTGCTGTGAAAATATTAAAAATGCGGGGCAGCTATACGACTATTTTACATAGAAAAATCTTATTTTCGATACTGCAAGTTTGTCTCGGGGATAAATGATACTCGTAAACACCGACTGTTGCTGGCCCAACTGATGCATGTTCACATCAGCTTCTTGAGTAGGGCTGCCACAAAATAATTTTTCACGATTCAATCTGATATCAATTATCATGATATGTTATTGCGATATCAGTTTCCCGTAGCGTTGTAATTGTTTCACATTTTTTTACGTGCTTTGCAGTACTCTTAGTACGAATGACAAATACTTGAAGTTCTTCAGCTGCAGTTCACTCTCTATCAGCCTGCCATGAGTCTTCTAATCATTTTATGTATCGTATACAAATTCTAATGCTTATTATGCATATTCTATCCATTACATAATAGCTAAATAATTTATATATAACGTCAATTACTCCATTGCAAAACACTCATTTAATGGATGATATCTAATTTATTGAGAACTTTAATTATGTTTATTGTTTCATAAATATTTGGTCAGGAAATAAAATACTGAAATAAATTACGTACTGTAATCATCGTACAACAATATGTTGCCCAACAAATTATAAGATTATCATGGACCTTACCTCATACGAGTGAGTCGATCACCCGGTCGTTCGTGGTGGGGTAAAATGTGGGCATTTTGCAATTTAAATTTTTTATATGTGGGTATTCCCATATTTTAGAGTTGTCAAAAATATTCTGTAAAGGCTCTCTCTAGGGCTTCCTTTAGAGGAGATCCTTCTGCTCGCAGTAGTGTGAGCAAGTAAGTAACAAGTAAACCCGTAAAAACAAAGTTTTTCACTATAAATTCTTTATATGCGTGGCGGCTAGAGTCTTCTCGTCCTCTGGCTTGAGATGGCTGCCACCTATGGGTCAGATGATTGTCTGCCAGTATTAAGCAATTGGTAATTAAATATTTAATTTGTTTTCCCTAAACAGTGTAAAATTTTGGAAAAAATTGTTCACGAACATTAATTGTCTCGCACAACGAGTCTGTGTGCAAAATGTCAGCTCGATTGGATCACGGGAAGTGGGTTAAAAAACGACCGAAAGATTTGCACGGTCGTAAGCAAGCAAGCAAGCACGCAAGCAAGCAAGCACGCAAGCAAGCAAGCAAGGGAACTTAATATAAAGGATTAAAAAAAAAGCAAGCAAGTTCAGGGTTGCAACTTGACCTCTACCGTACTGTACAGTAAAACCTTGGATTGCGAGTAACTTGGTCTGCGAGTGTTTTGCAAGACGAGCAACATTTTTAAATAAATATTAATTTGATAAACGAGCGAGGTCTTGCAATACGAGTAGTACGTGTATACGCTTTGTCTTCCGAGCGTCACGTGATCACAACTGATATACGAGTGCTTTGATATACGAGTGCTTTGGATTACAAGTACGTTTCCGGAACGAATTATGCTCGCAATCCAAGGTTTTACTGTATATCGTAACATCGCCATACCATGGCAGTCCTGTCCCCTCACTCTTCTTTCCCCCACGCTTGTCGCGCCCAGGATGACGTGGCACTGGGACATTCGATACAGCAGGCGCAGTCGTCCGACCAGCAGGACGAGTCGGCGTGGACGCTGCACTTGGACACCATGATCATGGACTTCAGTGACACGCTCTTCTCAAGCCTGGCGCAGCACAGCTTCGCGTGGCCAAACCCACGTGAAATTGGTACATTGATGCTGCTGCTGCTGCTGCACTGAGAATGCATTTAGCAACAGACTGAGTGTCAGGGACGTAAAGAGATAGGATGGGGCCGATTGGGGCAGTTTGCCATTTGCCTCAGATCTGAGGGGGGGGGGGGGCAGGGGGGGGGTGGGCTAAAAAAATCCAAGGAGGCCTCATTTATTAATATTTCCCCAGGCCTCTAAAAAGCTACAGTCGGCCCCTGTCACGTGTACATTTGACTATTCGATAACATTAATTTTCAGAAAAATAATAACAACTGCTTTGGCTATAAAACACTATATCTAACATTGTACATGTCAAATATATGATGTATAACGATGTTACGAATACCAATATGTTAAATCATAGGAATTAATGGTATTAGAGCAGAAAATACAGTAATCCATCATTCAATAATCCGCAAATCCCTGTAAATTGACGGATTATTGGCAGTTCGTGAATGCCTCAATATCCATGGCAAACTGCGTCGGATTAAAAACACTTCACGGACCGGACACCACAATCCATAGAAGTGGGGGGCACGGCTGCAGGAGCAGAACTACAGGGAAGACACAGAGGTAGGATTTAAAAATATATATATTTTGCAATTTTAATGTTTTGTTTTGCATTAGCATAGACAAATTACATACACCTATATGGCAGATTTGTGCCATTTGGGTCTGAAAAAAATTCGTAGCCTCATAATCCACAAATTTATCGCAGATTAATGTGGCCACTAGTCCTGTGCCATGCTTATCCTACAATCCACAATATTTTCACAGATTAATGGAACCACGCAGCTCTTTCCTCCCATAATTCACAGCACACCGCATCGCCGGATTATTTGGTGTAACCCTCCGCGATACACCATAGATTACAGGATCCGCGACATCGTCCTTCCCATATCAACACTGATTATTGAGCTTCTGCTGTATTACCAAGTGGCACTGCAGTTACAATACATAACTCAAAATCATGAGGCTGTGAGCTCAATTTCCAGTCTGAGGGAAACTTGACCTATCACCTTCAGAGGTTGAAAAAATGTAAGTACTTCTTTTGTATTGGAAGAGAATGGTCCCTGGCTTGGTGATGTAGAATTTCTACCACTTGAATATACAATTCAGTAAATTAGCAATGCTTTTATAAAAACACATGTTTATCTACAGAGTTGAAACACAAGCTATGTAGGTGCTTGTTGTGGGTTTAGATTTGTGAGGGTCAAATTGGTTCTCTGTAAACGGTACATTATCTACCATCGCATTTTTCAGAAGTTCACTCAAGAGCATAACTTCCTAATTAACCGCAGCCATGGGTGCGTTGACATTCTCCACAAACGAGCTCAGATGTCAGCAATGATTTGTAAAATTACGGCTTACAGAGCGATCAATGTCCACTTGTAGTGCAATGTGTAGCCCTTCCATTGCTTTGCTCGCGTCACTGCTGATGGATGGGCCTCCGCACGAGGGATATCTTGGGAGCCCCCTCGAAAGGATACTCGGTTTACTCTTCCACGACGGTCAGACGTCTTGGAAGGGGTTAGAGCACCCACCCTTTTACCCCACCACACCGCGGCCTGCCGATCGACTGCCTGTGGTGTAGTTGCAGTGATGAAAGCAAATATGTGAAACCAAAAAGTGTCTGGCTGTTGGATGTGTAATGTTGCGCTTTCACGATGTTGGTGTTCCGTGTGAGGGTTGTCCCGTTTTGTAGAATGCAAATCAACATGCAATAGGGGTGTCACAATTGGCTTCCCGGGCGATACGATAAATTGTTGCGATTTTGGGGAGTCATCGTGATTCAAGAATATATAATTTGTTTAACATTGTGGTGAATGTAGGATCCTCTATTGGCTGTGTGAACCATGTTATCCAAATGTATATACAACTTGTACAAAATAGGAAAAATGTATTCTTGCACACGCAGTGGGATGCATTCATTGCAAGCTTTAAATAATAACTCTATTCATAGATGAATCGATATTAATCGATGACTCGACATGAATCGTTACAAACCCCATGTGCACGGTGTAAATACCTGCGAGTGTTTTGATGTTCTAAGTGTCCTCACAATCCCCGTGTGACGAACGTGAAGGTCGAAGCAAGAGTATATTTGGGATCACGTTGACTGATGGCATTCAACACGTCCGGAGATGAAGTTGGGTTTTTACAGCACGGTTTTATAGCGAGGCCATAATCACCGTGCAAATTTAACAACATCCATCCGCAGCTATCGGTCAACGTGTTTTATTCATGAACAAATTCCTTTGTGAGAATAAATGATTTTACATTCACAGGTTCATGAGATATGGCGACTGCTTGGGAGGCTTTCATCCAGCAGTGGATTGACCATTGCTGATCATTATTATTATAAGAATAATGGGATTTTTTTTGTCTTAGGAAAGCCTCACGGAGACTTAATCATCTCGCTTAGGAAGGTCCTTAATTGGGCTGTTTGGCCAATTCTATGAACTTTGTGTTTGATGTGTGAGAGGAAACTGGAGTAGCTGGAGAAACCTCACACATTTCGATTTAAAGCTTTCGTGACTGCAGGGATTCATCTTCTTGGTTCTTTCGGTAAAGTCACGTAGAAGGGAAGTACTACAATAATACAAATAAAACATAATAAAATAATATAATAATATAATAAAATAATATAATATAATATTATTATATTATTTTATTATGTTTTATTTTTAGTATTTTATTACTTCCCTTCTACGTGACTTTACCGAAAGAACCAAGAAGATGAAACCTCACACAGATGGGATCCAATAATCTATTGCTGCGCTGCCATCTCTTGGTCATGCTTTCATATGTTTTTATTAGCACTGCCCTTTTGCCAATCGCTGTTCCGGCTCACTGGTTGTAGGTTAAGGCTGTTGGTACCACCGGTTGGTTACAGTTGACATCCGGATTGCCACGTTTTCCACTGTAGACTAAGATTCTAGGTGTATCAAAACTGCGCAGTGGCACTTTGATGAAGTTCAACACAATGCAACCACCATTGGAACCTCCTTTGCCAGTAGCAAAATATGATGATTGTTTTTTTACCCTTTTATCAGGCAACAAAACTGACACCTTTTTTTTACAAGGAGTCATGATTGCATTGACCACAATACCTGCGGTCGGAATGCAAACAAAAAAACACAACTCTGATAATGTATGCACTGTCCTTGAAATTGATTGGTCCACACCCGAGACAGCTTTTCTTAGAGCCTAGTCTCACATGGTGTTGGACCAGATGACGACGTGCGCCTTTTGGCGTCATCTGGCCCAACACCACGTGAGACTAGGCTCTAAGAAAAGCTGTCTCGGGTGTGGACCAATCAATTTCAAGGACAGTGCATACATTATCAGAGTTGTGTTTTGTTTTTGCATTCCGACCGCAGGTATTGTGGTCAATGCAAACATGACTCCTTGTAAAAAAAAGGTGTCAGTTTTTTGCAAGATAAAAGGGTAAAAAACAATTATCACAATGCAACCAGATCGCGGTAAAACAAAATAAATTCCTGCCACTTGAGCACAGAAGCCAATTCCTGGACTGAACCAGGTCAAGCCAGAACAGGTGACAAGCCTAATTGACACCCACGCCTGTGCGAGAACGCTCCACCCTCACCACCATATGCTGGATGCTATTGTGACACAGTGTGTATTAAAAGAAAACCATGATAAAAAAAACCACACCCTTTTAGTCACGGTTGACTTCTCTGGCCTGGCTTTCCAAAACACGCGGCATTTCTAGAATAATAAAGGAGGTCCTTTCCAGATGCCACGCAATTATCGAAAATGTTTTCAGTAACAAAAATAGATGATAACACTTTGACGTTTAGCGAACTGCTCGGGGGAGCACACACCGCAAATTGTTTGCATGCAGTGATGTTTCACTGCATGCAAGCCTCCTGCTACCAATTACTGGCACAGCAGTAATGCACAGTTTTCATCAGTAACAAATAGACAATTTAAGACAAGCCATAAGTGCGACTGTGGCCATGAAACGCACACTATGGACCAAATAGTAAACCACTGTCCAGTAGCCTGCGCTCCTTTAACGGAGGAAGAAGAGAAAAACGACACAAGCTCTGTCATGTATGTATGTGTATACGTGAAACTTGTTTTACGCCTTCCGCAGCCAACCGTGCTAATCAGAGGTGTGAAAGCCCTCTCGTGGCTAGCAGACCTTGACATTGGCATTTAGGTCCTGAACATATTGCCATTCTAAAGAATAAAATAGAATGCCAGCCGCTGCAAATTAATCATTAATTATTTAGCTTTGAAAGGGTCTAAAGGAGAGGCAGGGTCTTTATATTATTATCTTTGAATGAACACTGTAACACTATGCTTGGCAACGTATTTCTGAGTAACACATTTGCATGGCTCAGTTCTTGAAAAAGCATCGTGTGTTTGTCAACATTATACAAAGTTTCTTGCATTCTTATTTCAGTTTTCTAAAGTGTGTTAATGATAGCAAAACAATTTGTTGCTAAGTTTGTTACGTGAATGTAATTCTTCTTCTTGTAATTGTAAGTTTGCAAACCAAGTATGAAATAGTTACATTTTCTCTCATTATTTTAGTTTATACACAGTAGTTCCTTATTTAATATGAAACAAAATTATCAAGTGAATCATATTTATTTATTTATTTAAATGCCGGTTAGCTAGTTTGCATGTTGCAGTGCATAACATCGTTGCATATCTGGCTTTCACATATCAGTCCTGACCATACTCTTTGGTTCTTTCGGTAAAGTCACGTAGTTAGAAATAAAATAAAACTAACCACATGACTTTACCGAAAGAACCAAAGAGTATGGATTCCTGCAGTCACGGAAGCTTCAAATCAAGATTAGTCCTCACCAATTAACCGCCCACACCCAAATGTGTGTATCTGTGCATGGTATAACTGCCATTTTCTATAGCTGCAGACATTCCGCCATTCTGGGGCCATTGGAGCACTGGCTAAAACATATCCTTGAGGCCAGAGCACAGACTCCTATCCCGGACCTTGTCCTTGGCCTCATGGGTGTGTGGCCTCGGTCAGAGGGCTCAGCTTAGGAGCACCGGCCTTGACACTGGACTGAGCCGAGAGGACCCGGCCTTGACTGGCCTTGACACTGGCCTTCACCTCATAGACTCCTGACCCTTGGCCCCAGCTTGTCCTTGTGGCTGTTGACCTCGAACTAAGCATTGGTCGTGTGCATCCCGTAAATAAAGCAAGACTGGTTCGCCATCCTTGTGCATTAGTGTGTCGATAGCGCATCAAGAATCAAGGCATAGTTAATACATTCCAAATATTGTTAAGATTCATTGTATTCTAGATCGAGTTATTGCCCTTTTGCTGTCGTCTTTAAGCACAATAAAAAAAAATATCCGCATTGGTGCCCTATGAAAAATATTGAGGGAAATGCATGGGAGAAAAAATGGATCCCAACTCCTCACTCTCCCATATTAAAAATGAGCAACCCTCACAATCTTCCTTTGAGTAATGTGTGTACCACGTGCCTTGGTATGCTGAGGGTATCTTATTTATCCCACTGTGTGTCTGCCCGATCTGCATAGCTCACGCCAGCAATGCAGACGTCATCCAGCCAGGCCTCATTCAGCTGCAGCCCAGCCTGGAGGATTACATGGACACGATGGATTCCTTGCAGGGTATGTGTCTGTGAAGGAAGCACTGGCACGCACACACAATCAGCGTGCCAATTAATTGGGTTTTAACACTGTTAATTGGACACTTCTCGATGCACGGCCTGTTTCAGAATTATTACTTTATTTTCGTTACTGTTTTCTCTTGAGTGTGCTGGAGTGGTGGCACAATCGTCAGCACGTTACACCTTTGATTTGGGTATAACCACGTTTGATTCCCAGCCATGGCGAACGCCGGAGGTGAGTGATATCTGAACCGGTCCTGTCAGCAATCCTTGCTTGCGAGCACGTGGAAGTACAATCAACCCCTCACCTCCCCGTGACCGAAATGTGTGGGAGGACTTCATCCAGCAGTTGATTAATATGAGCTGAACAATGTATTATTTAATTACGTCTTGAGAAACCTTACTAAAGTACCGTATATCATGTTGAACATTGAAATAAAGTGTGGTAATCATATTTATAATGGTTTTCGGATTTATTATATTTCGTTACTGTCGTTATTCTTTGATTTCCATTCGCGTAACAACAAGAAATAAGACTTTTAAAACTTAAGACTCACAATCTTAAGGCTTCCTCATTTTTTCTCCAATTTTACTGAGAAATGTTCTCGCCAGTTCGTCGCTAATTAGAGAAGCGGACAAGAGTGCGCGGTTTCATGCTTGGGCTACCAACGTTGGAAAATGTACCCTACAGCGGGCGTGGGCCTCCCTTCCAGGTCAAAAGTTCAATGCAAGAGTCACGTGGCCACACAGCGGCACCCATGCATGGATGGCCGTATTATTTCTAAGCCAGTGTTATGTACCGACGCGGTGTCCGTTGAGTCAAATCATCTGCTGGTATAGGAGCTGCAATGCATGGTCGCTTCACCCTGCAGTTCTGTACAAATGGCTCCGCCAAGTCTTGCAGATATAATGGTAAGGGCTGAATTGTTTGGGAAATGGCAAAACTTTAATTGTTTCCGTTCAGTCCTGTGGTGTTGCAAATAGTTTGTTTGGTTCAATAGCGTGTTGCCGTGAGTTTGTGAATGAGTGATAAACCAAGCTTTTATTGATTCACATTAAGATAGTATATTTACTGTAATAATGCACAACTTTATATACGTTTACATATTTTTGCGTTTGATTCTTCTTCTTCTTTAGTGCTGCCTAACGGCGTGTGCGACTTCACGATGATATTGGTCCCGGTCTAGCACGGCGTGTAGAGTTTGTGCTGTTGTTAATTGTAGCCATGTTTTGATGTTACTGAGCCATGTCGTTTTTGGCCGTCCTGGTCGTTTTTTCCCTTCGATTTTTCCTTCCAGGATTTGCTTTAATAGCTGGTATTTGTGGTCGTTTCGGGCAATGTGGCCTAGGTAGTAACACTTCGTGCTAATGATGGTCTTCAGCAGTTGCCTGTCAGTGCCCATGTCTTGCACAACTTGTGTATTGGTGGTTTTGGCTGTCCATGGGATTTTCAGCATCCTTCGATACAGCCACATTTTGATTCACTCATTGCTATTTATGTTGCTATTATTTGTCACATTATTGCCCTGTAAATGTTTCTATGCAAGCGTACAATACCTGCCAATACCCATGTAAACTGATTTTAATAACGAGATATATGTATTGAAGTGCAGTGTTATCAGTATTAGGACATGTGCTGTGCTGAATAGCTTTTAGAATATAACTTTCAACCATTGTAAAAAGCTAACAAAATCCCATGTGCTAGTATTTCACAAACTTCTCTTATAATGTCACCCACAATAGAAATATATGTATATAACTATTGAGCTATGAAGGGCCATTGCCTGAAACGTCACCGATTATATGTAAAAAAAACTATTATTTTCAAGCAGCATTATTGATTCACGTGTTTTATCAATGTGTATTCCAGTCATAAGATGCGTACATTGTGCATTTACCCATTTTCATGTGATTTACCCATTTTCATGCGATTTAAGAAGTTGTGCACACATGTAAAGCAGAACTCTGAGAGTCCCAAGGTCCGTAATTAAAAAAAATGTTGAACCAACATTTTTCATACCGTATATGTACTTACAGTACTATATAAATGCATGCAATTGTGGGATTTCCTCACTATAAATAACAACATTTCCATATTTTGGTAATACTAGTGAAGGGAGTTCAATGTTAATAATTACACATTGGACATCAATGATCCCCTCCTTTATGTATGTACGATCGGAGGTGCGGGAGAAAGACAACCAACTAAATATAAATAGCAGTCTGGGTAGAAAAAAAATACATTAAACTAATGAAAAAATCAAAGTGCCAAAAAACAGCTGCCTAAACATTCCAAATACAGACATTAAACAAACTGGCTGAAACAATGCACAACAGTATAAAATATATAAATAGCATTTTTAGAATTCAAAGGGATTTTTAAAATAAATCTTGATTTACTGCGTTGCATATATGAGCTGTTTGATTAGTAATCAGCAGCAGGCTAAAATTTCGATTTAAAGCTTTCGTGACTGCAGGGATTCATCTTCTTGGTTCTTTCGGTAAAGTCATGTAGAATGGAATGAATAAAATAATAAAAATTAAACAATAAGAAAGAACCAAGAAGATGAAGCGCAGCAGGCTAATTGAAATCTACTTTGCCATACGTGATAACAGACCTGCTGCCAATGGGACGCCCAGCTTTCCTGCAGCAGCAGCAGCAGGAGCAGCAGCAGCAGCCTGCAGAGGCAGCGTTTGCCGTGCAGACTGGAGAGCCCCAGCTGGGGCCGTTCTCCTCGTCCCACACGAGCAGCGCAGACTTCTACACTTCGGGACCCGAAGCTTCCTGTCACTCCCAGGTAAGAGAGCCCCAGTGGAACTAAACTAAACTATGAAACTAATTTTTTTTTTACCACCAGGTAAGGCCCATTGAGCTATATAGCTCTTTTTCAGAAGCGACCTGGCCACAAATGATAGCTCAACAAAGTGGCTTGTCACGTGGAAATTTATAGCAGCCAAACGCTCGGAACGCATGTTTGTAAATGTGGAGGAAAAAAGAGGAGGACCTGGAGAAAACTCCACGGGACCACGGTGAGAACACGCGAACTCAAATATACAGCAGGCGTCAGGGTCGGGATCGAACCCACGACACCCTGTATACCAGGCGAGGGAGTTAACATCTCAGCCAGCGTGATGATGATGAGAGACAGACACGCGAACTCCAAATATACAGCAGGCGTCAGGGTCGGGATCGAACCCACGACATCCTGTATACCAGGCGAGGTAGTTAACATCTCACCACCGTGCAGTGTTTCAGTCTTTCCCTGACAAAAAAAAACACATACGTTGGTAGATTATATTATAGTATTCCCTCGTTTTCCGAACTTAACGGCGATTTTGGTTATTCGCGAATCACATCTGGAACTCTACACGACTGCATCGAGAGAGGGAGAGAGAGAGAAAGAAAAAAGGTGATTTGATAAAGTTGCGAGAGAGAATGTGATGCGAGAAAGTGATGAGATAATGTGATGAGGTAACTTTATTTATAAACTCGTATTTAATACTCTACTTTAAAAATAACATGTACTTTAGGATATGATAATGTTCATGTATTTAATTGCTTATTCATGTATTTATACGTTGGTGGCCTTTTGTTTGGGCGGGGGTGGGGGGAGGGGGCATAACATTTTGAAGACATGAAATTAAAATCACACTTCTGGACGAAGCAACGTGGCCTTGCTGCATCTCCACCCAGTACAGACATGTCCGGTTAGTCTAGGCCAGGGACCGCAAACCACAACAACAACAGCAAGAGCCATTTTTGTCGAATTCGGTAAAACGCTCAATATTTAAATGATGAGAATACGAGGCGGTGGTCCGTAATAAAATAAAAAGTCACAAAGGAGTCCTTAAAGAACCGCACGCTGCTGCAGAGCTGCAGGTTGCCAACTCCTGCTCATGGTAAACTGGACTTCCATGGTGAACTGGACTTCTATGGTGAACTGGACCTCCGTGGTAAACTGGACTTCCGTGGTGAACTTGACTTCCATGGTGAACTGGACTTCCATGGTAAACTGGACTTCCGTGGTGAACTGGACTTCCAATGGTGAACTGGACTTCCATGGTGAACTGGACTTCCATGGTAAACTGGACTTCCATGGTAAACTGGACTTCCATGGTGAACTGTACTTCCATGGTGAACAGCACAAACTAGAACTTCCATGGTAAACTGGACTTCCATGGTGAACTGGACTTCCACAGTAAACTGGACTTCCATGGTGAACGGCACAAACTAGAACTCGAAACGAGATGGCGAAAATCAAGACACAAATCATACGTTCTCGAATTGAACCGTGTCCCTGAAATGTACCGATTGATCAAATCACTGTTTGTGTGGATCGCTGCTTTGCCTACTTTGTATCCAGCCACCGGTCTCTTCTTGAAAGGATCTGTGGGGATGTTTGGCTGTTCCGCGCGAGGATGGTGACGGGGAGGTTGCGATGTCGTTGCGCTGCCCACGGACGGGCAGCGTGGCTCATTATGTAACCGGCAGAATTTTTTCTTCTTTGCTATTGCCGTTAAATGGGAATTTTTGTAAAAACCCAAAATATTTTTTTCTAAGAAAAAGTTACACGCAGGGCCAATTATAAATGACTGCACTAAGAGACAGTAGCCTCCTGACAATGTGTGAATGTTGAAGATATATATATAGACTAGCTGTACTACCCGGCTTCGCCCGGGACTTGTATCCACCACGGCCGGCCGCCTTTGTCTCCCCAGTGGCGATGTTAATACGTCACACCAGTTACTCGTTTTGAGGCTGAGTCCCTCCCTCACCACTCTCCCTCCCTCACCACTCTCCCTCCCTCACCACTATCCCTCCCTCACCACTCTCCCTCCCTCAGCACTCTCCCTCCCTCACCGCTCTCCCTCCCTCACCGCTCTCCCTCCCTCACCGCTCTCCCTCCCTCACCGCTCTCCCTCCCTCACCGCTCTCCCTCCCTCACCGCTCTCCCTCCCTCACCACTCTCCCTCCCTCACCACTCTCCCTCCCTCACCACTCTCCCTCCCTCACCACTCTCCCTCCCTCACCACTCTCCCTCCCTCAGCACTCTCCCTCCCTCACCGCTCTCCCTCCCTCACCGCTCTCCCTCCCTCACCACTCTCCCCCCCTCACCACTCTCCCTCCCTCAGCACTCTCCCTCCCTCACCGCTCTCCCTCCCTCAGCACTCTCCCTCCCTCACCACTCTCCCTCCCTCACCACTCTCCCTCCCTCAGCCCTCTCCCTCCCTCACCGCTCTCCCTCCCTCAGCACTCTCCCTCCCTCACCGCTCTCCCTCCTTCACCGCTCTCCCTCCCTCACCACTCTCCCTCCCTCACCACTCTCCCTCCCTCACCACTCTCCCTCCCTCAGCACTCTCCCTCCCTCACCACTCTCCCTCCCTCAGCACTCTCCCTCCCTCACCGCTCTCCCTCCCTCACCGCTCTCCCTCCCTCACCACTCTCCCTCCCTCACCACTCTCCCTCCCTCATCACTCTCCCTCCCTCAGCACTCTCCCTCCCTCACCACTCTCCCTCCCTCACCACTCTCCCTCCCTCACCACTCTCCCTCCCTCACCACTGACGCCCAGCCGCCTTTGTCTCCCCAGTGGCGATGTTAATAGGCCACACCAGTTACTCGTTTGAGGCTGAGTCGACCTAGGGGAGGTTCAAATAATCGTCAGCGGTGGTGGCCGTGAGCGGGAATCGAACTGGGTTCGCCGGGTTGGTAGCGCAGCGTAGCGTTAACCACTACACCCACCGCTCCTCACACACCACACACGCACAGACACACACACATAGACACACGCAGACACACACACACACAGACACACAGACACACACAGACAGACACACACACACACAGACACACAGACAGCACGCTAACCACAACACTACCGCTCCCCACACACCACACACGCACACACACAGACACACACACACAGACACACACACACAGACACAGACAGCACGCTAAGCACTACACTACCGTTCCCCCTACACAACACACGCGCGCGCGTCCATAGGTACACATACACGCGCTTGCTGCAGACAGACGACTGTCAGGGTGCGTAGGGCAGTAAACGACTGAAAATATAAAGCGGCAATGCTGCGCGAGGAACGCCTTAGACCTGCAACACATTTGTGTAATGCGAGCGTAAACACACAAACACACACATACATACACACATACACACACATACACACATACTTACACACAGACATACACATACACACAAACACACACATACAAACACATACACAATACACACACACATACATGCATACACACAGACAGACACATAAGACACATACATACACACACATACATACACAGAAACACATAAACACACATACATAGACACACACATACATACACACAAACACATCCACACACGTACATACACACATACATACAGACACGCAGACATACACATAAACACATACAAAAAAACGCACATACATACACACACATGCATACACACAAAACATACAGACACATACATACACACATACATACAGACACGCAGACATACACATAAACACATACAAAAAAACGCACATACATACACACACATACATACACACAAAACATACAGACACATACATACACACATACATACAGACACACAGACATACACATAAACACATACACACATAGTCATGATCCGGCTTTGCCCGGGACTTGGATCCACCACGCCCGGCCGCCTTTCTCTCCCCAGTGGCGATGTTAATACGCCACACCAGTTACTCGTTTTGAGGCTGAGTCCCTCCCTCGCCACTCTCCCTCCCTCGCCACTCTGCCTCCCTCGCCACTCTGTAGAGGACGTGAAATTTGTATGAATTTACCTCAGAGTGGCGTGTTGGGTGTCGAGGCCTAGCACCGTGCAGAGCCTCCCGCCTTGCCTGATTTTCCCACCCGGCGAACGCTGGGTACGGGTGCCGGTCCCCCCCCCCCCCCCGCGCTATTAAAAATGGCGTCCACCCCGCGGCGAAAAGTTGCTACTCGTTGCCAGGGGCAACCGCCGTCCAATGAAAGCGGCGAAGGCATTGCTAGCCGTTGCCAGGGGCAACCGCCGTCCAATGAAACTGCGTATGGTCCGAAATCCACACACACATACACATACAGACAGACATGCACGATTTTATATATATAGATTACCAACTGAATATAGAATTATCTCCCTGGGAAACAAACTGACAACTGATAAGATATTCAAATCACTGTTCCTCTACAGGACATTAATATCGATTTCATAGCATTTGTTCGTGTAGGGGAAACGTCATGCCGTCGTCTGTGCTTTTGCGCACTCTCTGAATGTTTTCCGCAGAAACTGAGCGCGTTTCAATCTTTTGACCCTGATGGAGTCTTCCCTGAAGCCTCCCAGGCTGTGACACAATTCCTTGGACCACCTGCTTGCCAGGAGACGCAGCACCCATACCAAGTAGGACGACACTCTCACCGTTCGCGTTACTGACGTTGGTGTCCATCGTGTGGCATTTGCTTTGTTCCGAAAAGCATTGTCAATTTTGTCTTCTTGGTTCTTTCAGTAAGGTCACGTAGAATGGAAAAAATAAAATAATAAAAAAAAACATAATAAAATAATTCTCACGACGTTTCGGCCACAACACAAGCAGCCGTCCTCAGGTGGAGAACAGGTCTGTCGAGAAGACAGAGTCTCAATGACACACCCCAGGCTTGGAGCGACTATTTAAGCTGGGATGGAGGGGCGAAGAGTCGCTCCAAGCCTGGGGTGTGTCATTCAGAGTCTGTCTTCTCGACAGACCTGTTCTCCACCTGAGGACGGCTGCTTGTGTTGTGGCCGAAACGTCGTGAGAATTATTTAATTATGTTTTATTTTTATTATTTTATGATTTCCATTCTACGTGACTTTACCGAAAGAACCAAGAAGATGAATCCCTGCAGTCACGAAAGCTTTAAATCGAAAAAATTGTCAATTTGTTTTTTAACTGCGGCATGACCGTTGACTAAAACCGTTGCACCGCTCTATTTTATGGGTCATGAATGTAGATTATAACATTTATTTCAAACGTGGTATTCTGTGTGCTGGGTGCTTTCATTTAACTGCATACACATTTGGACAGTTGTATATTTATTTAAATTCCGTTTGCTAAGCATGTGTCAATTTAACCTCACTCTAACAACTTGATTTCTGCTCATGAATTGATGATTCAAGAGTCAATTATTTTTTCTCATATATGTATATTTTTTACATCTCATTTCTATTATAATAGTTTTTTTCGTCTTATTTACGCATTTCATGTGATACAGTGCTGCTGTGTCATTGGCTCAAAGAGACACAATCTTGCCAAGAGCGGCTTGGAATTGATACTTTATTTATAAAACAATGAATTGGTTAATTCAATATGACAAGGTTTTTTACTGCTACCGAAAAGAAAGTCAGATATTGACGATCTCAAAATTGTGGCCAAACTCTGCTTTATCAGGAAATGATTACAGTATTTGTTCTTTCTGAACATTTCTGAGACGGCCAGAAATTTTGACATATTCCTTTCCACATAGAATATATATAAAAAAAGAAATATTTTCAATGAACCTGTTATTTTATATATCTCTATTGTCCAATGCAAAGAGGAAGTACATTATCCTGCATTTGGATGAGGCATGCAATGGCATGCCTGAAACAGCAGGTCCTGATGTCACCATGTTACATGAGATTGGGTGCCTGTACATTTACACGATTGCTAACAAAATAACTGAATGGTAACATTAAATAATTTGGTGGGTTTTAATTTACTGATTCTTTCTCTTTTATGCATTCATTATGCAATGACTGTATTGTTTCTTACTTGTTGCCTAGTGTGGATTTGATCAGAGCAACAGTGGATTGGGAGAGATGGTGAATTTAAACTCCAATATCCGTTGCGGCGTTCCGCCAAAGGCTCCTATAAATAACACCTACCAGGACAACCACGGTTTCTCATTAACCGCAATCAATCAGCAATTCGGGCTGTGCCAAGACTCTGCCAACAAACACCAGGCAACACAGAAGCTCTGCTACCAACCAATACCTCCCTCTGCAGACGATGTAACCAAGGCGGCGATGGAGTCGGCATATCCACCCCAATTTCCTCATTCTGCTGCGTTAAACGTGCCCGGCAACAACCTGCATCACCTTCAGTCATTGCCCAGTAACACTCATAAGGCGTCTCTCTCACCATTCCCCATCTACTTTGCAAACAGAGATCAGTGTCAAGAGAACGTGGCTTGCATCGCCTCTGTCGGTCATGTCACTCCTTCTGGCTTGGAGAAGCCTGGATGCTTTAGTCAACATCAGTATCCACAACAACAGCACCATCAGCAGCACCAGCAGCATCAGCAGCAGCAGCATCAGCAGCATCAGCAGCATCAGCAGAAGCTGACAGTGTCCCAAGAAACTCGCAAACGCTCATTTCCGATGCTTCCCGAGATCGATGCTGTTGGAAGCCTGCAGACTCCACAGGCCAACCTACCACTGCCAACTCAAGTTCCACCAACGAGTCTGCCGCTGCAACCCCCAGCTCCTCAGGAGAACAGAAAGCGGTCTCTGCCCAGCAGCTCCATCCCCGAGCTCTTCTGCGATTACGGCCAGAAAGGCGCGTCCGTCGACGTGGGGCAGCACGCGTCGAGCAAGCGGTCTCTGCCGAGCAGCCCGACCCGCGACGTACCCTACGACTACGTCTTAACGGGGCTCTCCTGCAGCCAGAACAGCGGCGCGGGGGGCTGCAATCCCTTCCAGTCCTCGCTCGCCACCCAGCCGGCCCCGAGCCTGGCGGACAAGCAGCAGGAGCTGCCGCCACAGCCGCAGCCGCACGCCTTCGCCTATGCCCCCAGCGCGACGGCTTTTGCTCGGCAGCAGCCGGAGGTCCGCAAATGCTCGGTCCCTGGCAGCCCCGACGGCCACGAGCTTCCCCGTCGCGAGTTCTCGGCGGCTGACGGCAGCGGCGATCGCGGTGGCGGTTGGCGGCTCGCAGCGGCTCGTCGCGCCGGTCGTGACGCTCAGCGGTCCCCCGCAGCAATGCCGCTCAGCCCACGGGCAGTCGTCCTTTGAAGAATTCCTGATGCCCATGCCTAAGCTGGCCCCCAAGCAGAAGCCGAAGATCGCCATGGGGCCCTTGTCCACGCAGCCGCAGCAGTCTCAGCCGTTGGAGACAAACAGCACCGGCAGCAGCAGCTCGTTCCTCGCGAAACTGCTGTCCTCAGGTACCGTTTTTTTAAATGCAGAGGTACGTGTTGTTGTTCTTCTTGGTTCTTTCGGTAAAGTCACGTAGAAGGGAAATAATAAAGTAAATAAATAAAAATTATAAAATAATATATTTTTGTATTATTTTATTATTTCCCTTCTACGTGACTTTACCGAAAGAACCAAGAAGATGAATCCCTGCAGTCACGAAAGCTTTAAATCGAAATTTGTACGTGTTGTTGCGATGTGTGGACTGAACAGAATAATCACGCCCAGTCACATTTGTGGGGCATTCGAAGTGGCGGTGCAGCGGTTTGCACAATTAAACTGATGGCCTTAATCTAAGTTGTCTTGTGGTTGTTGTTTGACTTGCATCCCACTGGGATTTTTGCACACAGCGTTGGTGTACGGTGTTTTTTCTGCAATATTTTGCTGTCTTTTCTTGGATGTTCTGTTTGCACTTAGTCACATATTCACTTTAAGATGTTTTTTGTTCATGTTTTTGGTTTTTTGTTTGTTGCGGTTGCACCCGATTCAAGAGCCGAATGGCTCACAGGGCTATACCTAATAAATTAACTTGAACTTGAACCTGAATTTGATACCCGGGCAGAGCTAGACTGGCAGTGGGCTCTCCCCTTCAGATCCAGCATGGATCGGCATTGTGAAGTGCAATGGAATAACTCCCATGACCGAATGACGTGGGGAGGCCTTCATCCAGCAGTGGATTGACAAATGGCTGAATTTGAGTTGAATGTAATCTATGTGACCGAATTCAAATATGCATTCCAATGAACGTAGGTCTTGTTATCATTAATCAATGCAAATATAGAAAATAAAAATGAAAGCATCTGCCGATAAAAAGAACCAGATTTGTAAACAACGGGCCTTTATCAGGCATTGTAACTAACGGATGAATCCTGATAAGATACCTCTAATCCTAAACATTACATTCTTTTTGTTTCTTCCCAGGGCATGCTAGCTACATAGTTCAGCGTTTCTAATCGTTTGCGAACTTCCTTGCATTGACGTCGCTCAGATAATCCTTTCTGAGAAACATAACATTTACAGGACCGGTGTACGTACGGGCTCGGCTCTGTGTATTTGTTCCTTCTTGAAGATGAACTTGGCTTAATTTGCTCTGTTATCACCACAACATACGCAGGTTTGCTGCCAAGCCAGTCTTCCATTGGGAGTGCTCCATCATCCTCCGTCAAACAAGAGGACATACTTCCCACTCTGCTGTCGATTCCTGCTGCCTCGGTCAGATATTTGTCTTGCGAGGATATTTCTCACGTGTCAAAGATGGTGGGATGCATTTCTTGAGTACACGTTATTTTACGTGTTACAATATACTGAAGGTTAAGAAGAGGTTTTAGAATAAAGCAAACACGTGAGGTGTTATTTAGTGGACTTTGTGAGAGAGAGAGAAAAAAATGGATAACTGATTTCGACTCACCGGCTAAATCATTGTCCCTCTCCATCATATCGGGGCCATTGGGTCCATGGCTTGTTGGGAATGGCTCTCCAATTCCATCGGTCATATATGTGCTGCTCACTAGATGACCAATGATCCTCTTCTTTCCAATTCCTCTGCCACTCAGACATTTGATTCATAATTTTAAATGCCTTCCCCGTCCTCAATTTTCCTCTATCATAGTGGCCAATGCTCTTTCTGGAACTCTTTAATCATGCACTGCTAAATAAGTCACCTTAAAGCTACTGGCCGAAGTTTTCATTTTTACGTAAATGCTCGCTCAGAGCACGAGTTGCAAATTGCAGATGTCAGTAGATATGAACGATATGGAACAATTAATTTTAGATACTTTCACAATTTATCTTTATGCCTTTGTTTCTCAAATGCAAACTTCAGTAAAAGTATTAAACACCTCAGATGTCGTGATGACATGGCCATTATAACAACCAAAGGTCATGACATATATAGGAAATGACTAAAGAAATCTGAAAAGAAGTCAACACAATTTGAGCAAAACAAAGGTCATGTACAATAAGTGTATGCGTAGATGCAGCAGTCAATGATGGCAGATCTTAGATTATTAACACCTCCGATTTAGCACGGTTGGCTACGTACAGTGGGCTACGTACGGTGTGAAATAATTTAAAAATTCATGCACACATATAGACCAGGAGCAAGAGGATGAACAGAGAAGCAAGTGAGAGCAGGTTGGAGTTCTTTTCAAAAATCAACTTTAATCATGAAAAGCAAAAAAAAAACAATGTGGCTATAGAAGATAAATTTTCGTTCTTATTTCCTGCCATGATATATGGATCGAAATCACGGACTGAAGAGTACCCAAATAATTATGGACAGATTCATGCTGAGAATTACACTGCGATTCAGAAGGAAGAACATGCTTGGGTCAGTAAACAAATACAAATCAGAGGTATCGTATTGACTGTCAAGAAAAGTGGGATTTGGTATGAAATATTGTAAGCTAACCTATGTTATAAGAATTGTGTATTTATAAATGTACTTACTTGCACCTGGCTCTAGCTTAATTCCTCCAAAGGCAAATTACTGGTTCGTTGACAATAGTGAAAACAATATTTGAGTGTTTAGGATAAGGCTTAAAGCAATTTTTAACTTTATACTGCCTCTGCCCTAATATTTTTACTTGAAACTGACCCTGCCCTCATTTTTGTTAGGACCCAAATTTGGTATTTTTGTTTTTACAAGCAATGACGCAGCTACACAGAATGAGGCTTTATTAACTTTGTACAAAGTCTCCTCTTGTAAAATTACCAGAGCTTTGCAACGCAGGTGACCTTTTCCCCACCCTGTTATCACTCCAAAGTTCAGCTTCATAAGCCCTTGGAGAACGTCATTAGAATTGACATAACTTACCCATTTGCGATCATCTTTACGTGATAGGAGTTGGCCTGTCTTGTGTCGGCACCAGGAGTGTCGCTGGACCCCGGCAGGTGCACAGATTTCCCTGATCACCCCCACAACCACGTGTTAAGTGCATTGTTTACTGATAATTGGTTTTTTACCCTTCTATCTGGCAACAAAACTGACACCTTTTTTTACAAGGAGTCATGTTTGCATAGACCACAATACCTGCAGCCATAATGCAAACAAAAAACATAACTCTGATAATATATGCACTGTCCTTGAAGATGATTGGTCCACACCCGTGCATTGTTTACTGTTCCACAAACAAGTTGCACTCCCATTCGTATTTAGTCTGGCCCCTACAGCTATCCCCGTGATTGCAATTTGACTGGGTGCGACAGGCCGGGTCTGAATCTCAGATCTAATGAGGGCGGTCATGCATCATTTCCAGGGCTCTGGATCACTGCTGGAGCCGCTACAGAATTCTGTGAAGGTGGGAGGACATGGCTCCCAGCCCACGCTACTGCAACCACTCACGTCTCCCGCCCAGCTCATCCCAAAGGCAGAACGAGGCACCGCTAACTCCCACTCATCCTCCATCTCACCAACAAGTGGGTGTTTGTTTTTATACGTTTTATTCCATATTTTCTTCTTAATTGTTTTGCGGTTTAGCCAAATCCTCCTCCCCTCCCCACCCCGCCGCCCCCCCCCACCGTTTGTTGTCCTTCCCCCGCACCTCTGATTATCATGGTCGGCTACGTACGGTGAGAAAGAATTTAAATATTCATGCAATACAATTTTCTCGAAGAGCAATATCCCGATACACTGAATTTTTTTTTATTTTTTACTCCGAGATACAGAAAGTAAGCCCAATGTATTGTTTTGGTAGAATTTATTATCACTGATAGTTATTTTTGTACACCTTTGTGCCAGAAAGCAAACGCAACAAAAGCATACGTTATATCAGACTGCAGCCCCTTGGGTTTCTTTGGGATCACACATGTACATACACCGAGCCAAACGACCACTTCTCACCATCGTTGAATGAGGACATCGAGTGGACGTAATAAAACGTCCCGACTGCCACCTTGCATGGCTCGCGTTACGTCTGCATCTGTAGGGAAACATCACCACAGCTCGGGACGGGCATCGCCCGGGACGCCGGAGAGCAGGTCCCGTCCACAGTCGCCCCTCGACTCCTCCGGCATTGTCGTCTTCAAGGCAAGCCACACACCAGAGCCGCGCTCAAGTTTGAGGGGGGCCCTCAAGTTTGTGGACCCCCTCTTTGTCCCTTCAAAACCTCCGCTTTACTGTTTTGCCACCGCCACTACCACCACCATCACCACCGCCCATGCCCAATGCCAAACACTCCATTGCTATTCACCTTGGTTATTTCAGTTGTAGTGTTTTTAGCACAGGACTGACCTGCCTGGAGAAGAAAAGTACAGGACGGTGCAGTGAGAGTAGGAGACGCTCCTGTGCCATCTTGAAGAGGCAGCAGCGCAAATCTACCAAGGAAGGACGTGTGGCTGCACCTCAGAGCTCTACATCCTCCCTGACCTGTCCAGTGTGCCACAGGGAATTCCGGGCTCGGATTGGCCTCTTCAGCCATCTGCGCACTCATCAAAACCCAACAAAATGACAAACGTGCCATGGTCATCATCAACTTTGATGGACGAACAAGAGAAGAGTGTTTTTAAAATGTCATATATATGTATCGTAAAGCGAATTTCAATTGAACAAGAGTGTTTTTATTTCGATACGTAACTTGTAGTAATACACATCGTGTTGCTATGGTTTGAGTTGCCAAATTACTGAAAGGAACTACAATAATGCCACAGTATTGTGTTTCAACCATTAGAAGCAGTACTTTTTTTAAAGGTGGAAGTGCTGAAAATCTGGCTTGAATACAGCCTTGGCGATCGCACAGTTGAGGTGGCACTAACCCCGACGGATCATTGAAACATTGGCTCATTAAGGCTTGCAAGCACCACCCAGGATGGTAAATGGTACCAATGATTTTGTTAATTAACTGTATCTCTAGATCACAAATATATACGATAGCAAGATCACTGTGGTAGCTGCTTTTGAAGACAACGTTATTGGAGAAAGGTGCCATGGCATGTTTAGACGCGAGAATATCGTCTTTGAATAAAAACGAAAGTGATGAGATGCATCTACGGAGCGCGCAAATTAATAGTGCATCTACAAAACGGGCGGTGGGTATGCAAATATTACTGCCCGCGGTGGATGCTGGTCACGGTCAGAGGTCGCAAACGGGTTTTGATTCCTTACCCGTACCCGGCCGTACCCGTACCCTATCCGTACCCGGCCGTACCCGTACCCTACCCGTACCCGGCCGGGTACGGGTAGGGTACGGGTATCGGGTACCCGATTGCGACCTCTGGGATGAAGCCATGTTGCAGGCGCGGGTGAGTTGATTCTAGGAACTTGAATTGTGAGAAGAGACAAGACGTTGGGAAATGAGTGACAAACAGTTACTCACCAGTGACTCACGGCCTACCCGTACCCGGCCGCACCAATGTCGCAAACGGGTACCCGTACCCGTACCCAGCCGGGTATGGGTAGCTGGGTATCGGGTAGGGTAAGGGTATCGGGTATCCGGTTGCGACCTCTGGTCACGGTTGATACCAGTAGCATTTGCCACCCAACTTGGGCGCCGATCAACACCCTCTTGGTTCGTGGGCTGCGTTGACGCAAGCTTTGACTTTGCTCGTTCCGCAGATGGCCACTGCGCCACCAGAGGTCGTAGTGGGCACGCTTTGAGGCCAGTGGGTGTACCTTACATTTGTTTTGTGATAAAACTGTCTCTGAAAAAGTTGACGCGATTTTTTTTGGTGGTAGGTAGGGGGGGGATTTAAATTCCAGACAAAATTTATCTGAGTTTTGTTTTCTAATCCTATATATTTTTGTTTCTCGTTATTTACTTGGCGTTCAACATTTTTGAATGCGTCCGTTCACGGCGCGAGGTAAATTAATGCATGCGAGGAATTGATTGACCGATGCCGCAGCTTCTTCGACAGCTGTGCCCCCTTGTTACCAAGTACGGCCACATCCGTTTTATTGTTACCGTTGCAATCGACGGCCGAACAAAACATTTGTGTCGGAAATTATTGCGACAATTCCTCCTTTCCCCTTCAACTTTAATAGAGTGTGCTTTTGCTCGTTGAAAAAAATTATGAATATTGCTCCCTTTTTATAGAGGGGTGTCATTTAAGCAGCATCCTTTCCGTGTCAGCCGCGAAAGCACACCACACGACAATGACCGAATACACAATACGTAAACATTCGCATGGCCTGTGTATTTCCAGGACAGCCGGCGTGTGACGCACATCTCCGCTGAGCAGAAGCGACGTTTTAACATTAAGATTGGCTTCGACACATTGTATAACCTGGTGTCGCCTCTCAATCTGCAGCCAAACAGCAAGGTGAGAAAAACGTCGATCCTCTGAAGAGTTTAAAACCTTTGTAAATGTGTCACAACCAGATAGCCATCACACACACACACACAAAGACCCGCCCCCCCCTCCCTCTAGCCTGTAACAGACTGTAGGGGCAAGTGCTGTTAGCGAGCACCTATGAAGGCCAGCATGGCACACGAGGGGTTGGGTGGCCAGCAACCACGCACACACACAGTGACATGCTCACGCTGGTTACAATCACATCGCAATTACTATTTACGGACAAAAAATATCCTGCAACAATATGCTACGACTTGGACAGAGGACGGTTTTCAAATTAAGATTAGCCTTGCAAAAATTGGATATTGCCAGTATTCCAGGCTGACCACAAAGACACACGTGGTTTAGTTAAGGTATTTTCAGAGCAATTAAGTGAGAGCAAGCACTGCTTACTAAATTACTGGGATGTCAGCTCATGTAGATGACAGAGGTCGCAAACGGGTTTTGATTCCTTACCCGTACCCGTACCCGGCCGCACCAGGGTCGCAAACGGGTACCCGTACCCTACCCGATACCCGGCTACCCGTACCCGGCCAGGTATCGGGTAGGGTACAGGTACGGGTACCCGATTGCGACCTCTGGGATGAAGCCATGTTGCAGGCGCGGGTGGGTTGATTCTAGGAACTTGAATTGTGAGAAGAGACAAGACGTTGGGAAATGAGTGACAAACGGTTACTCACCAGTGACTCACGGCCTACCCGTACCCGTACTCGACCGCACCAGGGTCGCAACCGGGTACGGGTAGCCGGGTATCGGGTACCCGGTTGCGACCTCTGGTAGATGACCAGAGCCTCCTCCAGTAACTTCTGCGTCCATTTGACACGGCCTGTGGCCCCATAGAGTTTAAAGTAAACTGGAAGTGCTGCTGCACGTGAATCTCACGACCAATTAAGCAATTATATAAATCTGCCATTTGCCAAGTCACCTGATCTGGGAACACCAAAAATAGCGATGGTGACAATGGCGACGCTTGTCCCTTGTTGCAAAAGGTTCGCAGCTCAAGCCCAGCGACCACCCTGGTTAGTGCTGTGGCTGAATTCATTATAAATATGTGCAGTCTGCTTCACAATCAGTGGGCCATGAAGGAGTCCATGATGCTGTTGAAAACCAAAAAAGGGGAGGCCATGTTTGTCAGCGTCATGGTCCAATTTGGCCAAATTTGGTAAATTACCTGCAAATTATTGAATTGAAAAACCACATCGCAACATTGCCCGCTACTGGCAGATGAATGCCCATTTTTCAGGCCAGTTTTTCATCCACTTTGTGCTGCACAGGGACAGCTGCCACTGGGGATGGGGGGGGGGGTTCATCTTGGCTAAACTGCAGCAGGACATCGGAATGGTTGACATGAGATGTGATGTAGAGAGCGTTGAGTTTCCGAGGCATTTAAGCACCTTTTATATACAAAGCGCTATCGTTATCCTTCTGGCGGCAATGACATTGTGCGTGTGGCTCAGGTCAGCAAAGCCGCAACGCTGCAGAAGACAGTGGAGTACATCACCAAGCTGCAGCAGGAACGGCAGCAGATGTTGGACGAGGCACAGAAGCTGCGCGATGAGATTGAAGAACTCAACGCTGAAATCAAGTGACTGCTTTAATCATTATTTTACAAATATATGTTCAGTACATACGGCAATACATTAGGCAGCAGCAGCAGTGGCAGTGGCAGAGTGGTTAGCGCATTGTGCGATTAGCTCAGCAACATGAGTTTGATTCCTTGCCGTGGCTAACCGAGTTATGAGTAGTATCTTCACCAATCTGCTCTGACCAGGACAGTGTTGAATATGGTCAAACAATCTGAATGAGTAAAACGGTGTGTGGGGAGGCCTTTATCCAGTGGTGAATTAATAAAGGGCTGTAATAATTGTATTTGTATGTATAAGGCCATCTTCACCATATATTTTAGCACGCGCATGTCAATTCTCTCCGCTCTATGCTTTCTCAAACTTACGTTTCAACAGCACCTGTGGATATGTATCTGGAGTGGGGGAAATGTATGACGATAAGGTTCACCGAGTTGCATCAATGTCATGCTGGGCTTCATTGAAACTTAGCATGTTTGCCTGCCAATGATAGCGTCAATGCATCAGGCTAGAAGTGGCTCGTGTAATAGAATTCCTAATGTGTTAGTCTCGAAGCTGAGTGCAAAACAGGAACAGGTGGAACTTGACCGCGTCGTCTATGAAAGAAGAAAGAAAGAAAGAAACCAGATGAGAGTCAACATTGTGTTCGTCTGTTGACCACGGTTTCCCAAATGGCATTCCTTTGTTTTTTCTCCAAATTGACACTTTGTATTGTACCTCCAATCGATACAAAGTGTCATTACATGCTACACGTGCCTGATGATTACTAAACACACTTCCACCTGACATATTGAGCTACAATTAATATGAATCTGCGAGCACGTGGGAGGCAAGAACCCTCATTCACGCACACGCCAGATCTGTTTCGCAATTTCATTCAGCACTCCCTCTGTGTCACTTTGGAAGAGATTAACAATTGTCAGGCATGCGCTGCTGCTGCTGCTGCTTTATGTAACGACTTTATCTACATTTTAAGGGAGGTATTTTTTTAACTGAGAAACGTTAGCGTGATTGGGCAAGAGGACTATAGATTGGGAATCCACATTGTACACATTTGCTCTTCAGTAACTCTCTCCAAATTGTTGGCTACTTCTCAGTTATACCACGTCCTCGATAAATACTGAACTAAGTTTCATTTAGGGCACTTCCACAATTGTGAGTGTACATTTCGGTTACTTGAAAATACATGATTCATCATTGTCATACTCACAACGTGGTTTACTTCGAATTGGCATAGAATGTCATCCTCCTCAACTCCGATTAGCACGGTTGGCTACATACGTTGCGAAAGCAGTTCAAGACACATGAAAATAAATTGTCCGCCCGTCTTGAGAAAGGGTAAACGTTTACGAAATAACCAAAGCGTGGTTGCCCAATGTGAGGCACTTCCCCCAGCTTATGTCGTTAATGAAAGTAGCTTTTTAGTTGTTTGTGAATCGGCGCTATCCATGTAATTCGTGCTCTGTGTTGTTGTTGTTGTGGTCGTGTGCCGTGGTGCGACGCTACGTGCCCCACGCAGTGTCTGCCAGCAGCAACTGCCGGCCACTGGGGTGCCCATCACGAAGCAGCGCTTCAACCAGATGCGCCAGATGTTCGACTCCTACGTCCGCGCACGCACGCAGTGCAACTGGAAGTTCTGGATCGTATCCTTGGAAACCCATCAATACAATGCCGTCCTTTCAGAATTTTAAAATTGGACTTCCTGGATCGTCATCATAATCTCCAGATTATAAATGATAAAATTGCTCTGTAAACAAACATATGCACTTCAAACTGGTGCCTGGTCTCGATAAAGTTATACGAATCTGATCACGCATATCGTAAGACGCACATATTAACTTTTGCTTTAAAGTACTGAAAGAAAGCACGCGTCTTATAATTCGAAAATCACGGTACACCATCGTATCGCGAGAGATGGCAGTAGCACGGGGAGGATTTTGGAAGATTGTGTGTGCTTCCTTGACAGTTGTGTTGCGTGCGTGCAGTTCAGCATTCTCATGCGTCCTCTTTTCGAGTCCTACAATGGGATGGTGTCTACGGCCAGCATGGAGGAGTTGTGCCGGACCGTCATGTGCTGGCTTGACCAGCACTGCGCTCTGCCCAGCCTGCGGCCCAGTAAGCCCAATCAGCGACCCACTCGGAGCTCACTCAGGGCCCCATTAATGTAATAAAGGTCGTTAAAGCGACTTCTGAAATCCGGTCTTTTATTTGTCTTTCTTTACAACACTCCTTCACTCTGCTGACAGACAGCGTGAGAGGGATAGAAAGAGAGAGATGCGCGCAGCCACGTGGCAGCCTGGACCCCCGCTCTCGCGTGGCCTCTTTCCTTCGTTCGTTCCAGTTGTGACCACGTGTTATTCGCCTCCACCTTTATTTAATACCCGGGTCACGTGGTACGTTTCCACCAATCCTGGTTAGCCTCTATGGAATGTTCCAGACTCCACCGTAGGCACCCGGGACCACGCCCCTGACTCGTCTCCCCATTGGTTGTGGCTAAAGCCATTACGTTAGGGCCACGCCCTTAGGCTTCCCCCCCCATTGGCTATGGACCAGGACCGGTAGAGCCAATCATCGTGACGAGTTGTGATCCGTCAACGACCCAGATATATCCTCACAATACATTAAGGTCATCCTGGGGGTGGCTCCGGTTTCCCCTTGCACAGTGGGCAAGGAGCCATCAGTAGCGGTTCGTTTGCTCCAGATTGAGGAGGCAACAACGTCCGCCTCGGCTTTTCCAGTCTGTATGAAGGCACGGGGAGGCCTTCATACAGCAGTGGATCGACAAGGGGATGTATATGATTTGAATGTTAGATTATGTTATATCATTCTAGATTTGAAGCTTTCGTGACTGCAAGGATTCATACTCTTAGTTCTTTCGGTAAAGTCACGTAGGTAAAAAATGAAATTAAAATTTTAAAAATAAAACAATATCCACTTGATGCAGCAAATCTGGCTGTGATGGTCCCTCCTGATGACGGAGACTTGTGTTGCCTCCGAAACGTCGTGATTTTTTATTTTTTATTGTTTTATTTTTATAAATTTTTATTTCATTTTTTACCTACGTGACTTTACCGAAAGAACTAAGAGTATGTTATATCATTATTATTTGTATGTTATTCTTGGTTCTTTCGGTAAAGTCACGTAGAAGGGAAATATTAAGGTGAAGAAACACCTGCGGACGGCTGCTTGCATTGTGGCCAAAACGTCGTGAAAATTTTATTTTGATTGTTTTTTTATTTCCCTTCTACGTGACTTTACCGAAAGAACCAAGAATATGAATCCCTGCAGTCACGAAAGCTTTTAATCGAAATTTATTTGTATGTTATAGCTTTGCATGTTATGGGGGGGAAATCAATTATTGAACTGAATCACAATCCTGAATTGTGACAAGTCATAGATTTCCAAGTATTGTGAATTGTTACCGACCTACTAAACAAACTCAAATACTTGGGACTCCTATTTGAATATTTTTAGACCTATAATTTTTCAATGATTTTTTTTGCATATATTTTGTTTAACAATATAATATTTTAGATATGTTTTTCACCTTTCCGTGTTTACCTTTCTACTCTCTTGAAATATATATGAAGTTATTATACACCACGTGTGGCTGATGATTAATAAATAATGTTTGACATACAACATGCAAGATCACTACATTTTGTGGGGCGTGTTTACCAATCATCAGGCACGTGCAGTGTGTAACGACTTAGTTTGTATTTGAATGGACAAGACTGGTAAACGTGGGAAGGCAACCACGGTACTGTAGGTACACTCTGGAGTTTTGGAAACCCTGGCATGATATAAGTAAACACAACAGATCAAATTTACTGCCTTAGCAACTTCACAAATGTTCACTTTTACAGGGCCAAACTGTGATTAACCTTTAAAAAAAATCCGTAAATGTTCACCCCCTTGGAATTCAGCCTATGCGGTCTTGATATGTTCATACAATGCAGAAACTTCACCTGACAACTTAATTGCAGCAGGGTGTGCTGTGATGCATTGAATTTGAGTAACATGCTACTCTGCAGCCGATGGAACCTGATTAGTTTGTATGGCTTAATAATGTCTTTTGAAAAATAAAACATAACTGAAATTGAATCCCACGGCTGAAAAAGCCACTCGTGGCTGTAGCTGTCGGGCAGTAAGTTGTTTTGCATGCTCGATTCTACGCCATCGGCCTCATGTGAATTCAACATATTTTTGTTTATAATTGACTATTTGTGCAGTTGTTTTGGGGCAGACATTCATTTTAAGTCAGCTTAAAATTAGGCCAATTGAAACATGTTGTACTTTAAAAGTAAAAATTGCAAAAACGCTTTAAATTAATGTTTGTGTGATATTCGATGTGCTATGAAGGACCATTGTTAAAAATATCACCGATTATCCACGTTTCCTTTTACGGCAGCATTATTGACAAATGTAATGAACTTTTTCAATTACAGTAATAGCATAATTTCTATCCTGATTTAAATCAAAGCTCAATGTGGTATAATTTAGAGTATGGTGAATTAATCATAGTTTGTATGATTAATTGTAATATTTATGTGTAGCTCTTTGTCCATCCACTGCCTCTTCAATCAATGCAAATCATGAGGTTTGTTTGACCATATTTCACCATAGGGATTAGCGTTGGTCAGCCCCTTAGTGCTGCGAAGGGAGCGCAATGATTGGAGCCCCCCACCCCCCCCCCCCTTCTGAATGATTATACAGTAGTCAAGGTGATTATATGTTTATGTTATATCTGAATATGAAAAAACAATTGTCATAATTATATAAAAGATATTCTATTTTAATCAAAAAAACTGGTACTATATACAGTATATATAAAAATACAAGTGTCAGTTTCTCTTCAACGTCTGCCAATTCGAAAAAAACGGTAAGAAGTCTGAGCAGATTGTATGATAGCCAAATGCAAATCATACCATTAGCATTTCGCAATTGTTTGAGGTTTCACGCTGTCGTTTCCCCTTCTGTACGACCTCCTTTAAACAAGGTCATGCTCCAGAAGCTAAGTGTGGGTGTGAAGAGGAGTTAGAGACTGGGACCGGTTCAGATATAATTCGCCACTGATGATAGTCACAGCTAGGAAAATAATTCAGATCGCCTGGTTCGTGGCATAGTAACGATAACCACCTTGCCACCTCGGCCATATTTTTACTGCAACCTTGAATGACATTACTTTACAAAGAGTATTATTCTTGAGCTCGAATCTGCCTGTTTATTAGTGCACGCTAGGCCTGATTATTGTTTACCTGCTGTTTTATCTGCTCAAAGAATATTGACTTGTGCATGTATGTATAAAGGTCCGCTATAAAATTTATTCCACGTGACCAAAAGGAAATCTTTAGCTCGAGTACGAAACATATTAGAGAAGTTGCAAAACATACACAAATGCGATTTCCTAATTACGCCACTGTCTTGGTTTTGCCTTTTTTTTTCAGTCGTGCTCACTGCTCTGCGCCATCTCAGCACAAGCACCTCCATCTTGTCGGACCCGTCTCTTGTTCCCGAGCAAGTGGCACAGGCCGCGAAGCCCCAACAAGGCCAGACCCACGCAGGCCATGCCAACCCAACCCCTGCGTCCATGAGCCATGCTCACTCTAATCTTTCCTACAGTGGCCACCAAGACCAGAATCATGCTGGTCATGCCAATCCAACTCCTGCCTCCCACTCTGGCCATGGCCATAGCGGCCATCAACTCCGGACTCGCACCTGCCACGCCAACCAAACCCCTGCTTCCGTGACCCACGCCCACTCTAATCTTGCCCGCAGTGGTCATCAAGGCCAGACTCACACCAGCCACGCCAACCCAACTCCTGCACCCATGAGCCATGCTCACACTGGCCATGTTCCTGTCAGTCATGACCATTCCATCCAAACTCACCGTGGCCTAACACCCGCCGACCACGTTTACCCCGGCCATGCTCCGGCTGGTCATGCCCCAGCCGCCCATGCCCCTACCGGCCAGGCGAGCTGACCAAGTACTGTGACATTGTCCCCTGTAATTTTTTTGTAAACATGTTCTTTTGTTTAATTTAAATACATAGTCGTTTTGTATGTATGATGCGTTAAATCAAGCTGGCCAGATCACTGTTATGAATACTTTTAATTCAAACTGTAATGTAACTATTGCCGTATATGTTACCCCCATCCGGAATAGACACTGCTGACATTGTTACCAGTGCAAAGTATTTGCTGTCACTGGGCTGGTACACCAATGAGGATTTCAATATTCACGCACATGCCAACCCTACCAATGTAATCAATAGGCTGCCGATTTTAAACCATTTTACTGCAATCTTAAATATATATTATGTGTCCATGAATATACATGTATCCATGAATATATGTATTTGTATGCACAAGTGTTCCTTTGCATATGTGGTAAAATGGTTGACCTATTGGCAGCCTATTGCCTTAATTGGTAGGGCTTTTAAGGTATTTATTGCTCTTTTGATTTGCAAACATACATCACAAAGGCCCATATCAGCATTGGGCAACACCTAAACCCCAGTAACAATGGGTTTATTCTACTGCCTGTGTGAGTTGTGAGAGTTAATATGACCCTATTTCACCACACTGACCGGTGAATGTGAGTGGTGCTCAGGACTGCTTCAGATATCAAGCGCCAATGATGTTAAGCCATGGGCAAGATTCGTACGTGACTGACCGCGCTTACAGTGTATTGCAAGGACGACAGTTTACAACGTTCCCTCTCAATAGTCTTAAACGTTATGAAATACTTAAATAATGAAATAATAGAATGCATAATACAGTACATGGCAGCAAAAAACCTATCCGTAAATGACACTGGCCCTTGTCGTTCAAATGCTATCACGTAGATGCTTCCACCCACCGCGTTTCACCGAAGCGAATGCACACGTGAATATTGCCAAACGTCGCGTTGTAATTCCACTAATGGCACGGGGCACAAGCCTGTGTGTGTTCTTTTGACAAAGTCTTATAACATCGGCCACAAATATCTTGGATGGGTGCGCGTGGACCCGTGGCCACGTGACCACTTACTTTATAACACGCGATTGTCGTTCTTGTGTACACAGCAAAAGCTGCCCTTTTCTAAACTCTTACAAATAACAACGCTGCCGTTTTTAGTTGACAGCTGTTGCGTGCACTGTTCCCGAAGGGTGTGCACACAGTCGCTGCGTCCAGCGCAGGTCGATTGAATGATTCGTGGTTTTTCACGCAGTTCACATCGCAGTACATCATCTATGGCCCCCGTACCTGCTTCGTAGCGTGTGTACCTGGGATGAATTATAGCCAATTTCACTCGGGGGACTGGACTCGGCTTTAGAGATGGGTTTCAAAAATGACGGTAACCTGCAATGACACAGGCAAACAAGACAGAAGTGATAATTGGTTCTTTACCCTTCTATCTGGCAACAAAACTGACACCTTTTTGCAAGGAGTCATGTTTGCATAGACCGCAATACCTGCAGTCATAAATACAAACAAAAGACATAACTCTGATAATGTGCACTGTCCCTGAAGTTGATTGGTCCACACCCGAGACAGCTTTCCTTCGAGCCTAGTCTCATATGGGTTGGACCAGATGACGCCAAAAGGCGCACAACTCAAGGACAATGCACCATCAGAGTATGTCTTTTGTTTGTATTTATGACTGCAGGTATTGCGGTCTATGCAAACATGACTCCTTGCAAAAAGGTGTCAGTTTTGTTGCCAGATAGAAGGGTAAAGAACCAATTATCATATTTTTACTGGCAAATGAGGTCCCCATAGTGAAGACAGAAGTGATTTCTGCAACAGGGCTGTCTGCAAAATGAAGCACTATCACAAACACAACTTGAGACCAAATATTTTTAAATATATAAAAGCAGAACTCCGTTCTGTGTCCCCACATTTATTGTAAATAAAAATTGGTTTTAGTCCTTCCACCTATTGTCTTTCCAGGCCATTATCCAGCAGCCTTTGATTAAGCTAGGAAACTCGGGGCAAAGTTAGGCGTATTAAACAAATGCTGCTGGGTTCTTGGATGTTATTGGCAAGAGCACTCCATCTCAATCACGGGGCCCTGTTCAACACAACAGCAGTATTTATACCAACATATGCATATACCCGTAATCCTCCACAGCATTTAGTTTTTGTTCCACATATTACTCGCCGATAGCATATGGAATACACTTATGCCATAAAAAAACATGTGCCCAATGCAGCTGTATATGCTTGAAAGCACATGTTAAACAAACTAGTGTTACTTCCCCATCACAAGACGTGTGCATATTACCAACGACTAAATGAGCAGGTGTACAAGGGATATAATGATCGGAACATACAAAATATGATGCCCGTGCCGCAAACAATGTGACTGAAACGTCAGCAGTGTTTTGGTTACTGTGGACCCTGTTTTCTTTTTGAACTGTAATTGGTAGAGAATGAATTGTTTACTTTGTTGTGTCTTGCTTTACAGACAGCATTTTTAAACGGCGGGGGGGGGGGATATGCACACACGGGGGAAGCTTTTAAAGATTTTATAGTGTATATACAGGTAACCACTCTTGTTCACTTTGTCTGACAGCTTTTCAACTGGTCACACAGGTCGGAAATTGACAAAGACAACTGTCTCTGGGTGGTAGCTCGGAAGGGTGACTCAGTGTTCATTGCCATGTAAGTTAAAACAAACAAAGACTGTGAACGATCGATGTTTTTGAGTTCGATCGCGTAAATACAAATGCGTCGTTAAACCCGTCACCAGCACTGCCCACCGGTGTGTTGGAGAGTAAAACCCAGAACATTTATGCATTGCATTTGGTGAATAGAGTAAGACAATTATAGGAATATACAGTGTGTCGTGGACGTAACATGAGTGGACATGCCTTGTTCTGCACGGAAGAACACCCTTAAAGGGTAGAAAAACAAAAGAAAAATGAAAATCGTACTTCTGAAACTCAGAAACATTTAACAGCGTGCAAAAGCAATACTGACCTGGTGCTGGCTGGGCCTTCAAATTGCAGCAACGTCACGTGCCAGGCAGTCCCAGTTTAGGACAATGTCCATTACTGTGCAATAACGACTATAGGGGTGGGATTATGCCTTCCAGAAATGGGTTTTTATAGTTTTTTTTATATATACGTTTCACAAACAACGGATAAATAAATAACATTACGAGCTGTAAATGGGCTGAATGTAGTAGTTTTGGACATCATGGAAGTAATAGGTTGGTGGGGGGGGATAGGGATCTATGAAAACGGATATACCAGGGCACCCAATCCCAGAGATTAGTCTGGCACGTAGATTCCCAACTCGGGTGGAGTTTGGATGTTTCTCACCCCCCCCCCCCCCCCGTTCTGCGTGGGTTTCCTCCGGGATCTCCGGTTTCCTACCGTAGCTGAAATAAAACGCGAAAATGTATCTCATATTGTTTGGCCAAACATCCAATTCTGAAAAGTGACCTGCGAATTACTCAATTGGGATTACACTACTGTGAAAACACTTGGCCCGGACCTTCTTGAAAAGAAGTCTTGAGACTCAGTGAGGCTCTCTTGGCTAAATGAGGTCACTGCAAGACAAATACTTCTCACATATACGGTAAATGTAAACGCATTTTTCATACAATAACGTGTGTTCTTTTAGGCGTTATAGTGATTTAAATGTACTTCTGTGACATGTGGAATGTAATGATTATGGAACGTGAAAAGTAAAGTGGAATTGTCTCGTTCAGGAGTGAGTTTGTACTCTTTTAAAACACTGCAACCACCGTTAATTCAATTTAAAGACCGATAATGGTCATATCTGTAAATTACGAGAAACACCTATCAAAGCATAAGCATAGTGCGAGACAGAAAACCATGCGTGCCAAACAACACACAAATTGGTAAAGAAAGCATACGGCCATTTGTACATATGGAAGAAAAATAAATCAGCATTCCCTGAATAAGTGCATTGTGGTCAGATTGCCTTATATCACCACTAAATAGAGTTGAGAAAATGTGAGCAACTGAAAACAACAGTGATGCAGTGACGGACAACTGTGGACTGGTTTCATCAGAAAATAGAACTCATCAGCATTGCAGCCACCAATGCTCACTGCTGCAAAGTCTACCTCTGGAAACCATATACAGTATGTAGATTCTCAGCATAGAGTTACATTTTACCAAAATGTGACCGATATATATCGACATTTCCTGTGCAGTCTAGCATAACAGCAAGTGGCTTGATAAAGGGCTGTGAACTATTTTCCATTATTCCAATTCCCCCGTGATTATATGTTTATGTTATATCTGAATATGAAAAAAAAATTGTCATAATTATATAAAAGATATTCTATTTTAATCAAAGTATATCATTTAATGGTCCTATTTGTCACTGGCGGCTTTAGCGTTTTGGGCCTAACGTGAGTTTAACTTTTGTACACGGTGTGGAGAGGTCTTCATCACAGAGCAGTCTGCGCGCTATCCTTGCAATTAATCTGTGGCGGCTGATGCGAGCCCCTTCCTCATCCAGCAGCGGATTGACCTGGCTGATGATGACCCCCAGGAATTGCAGCATGTTCTGGTAGCCGCAGCTACTCGACGTGGATGAATATTGACAGCAAAGACGCCGCCATCCCGCTCTCGCATGAAATGCAATAATCATCATCATCGTATTCTTGGTTCTTTCGGTAAAGTCACGTACATAGAAAATAAAAATAATAAATGGTGTTTTTGCTTTTATCATCTTCAATTTATTATTTTAATTTTTTCCATCTACGTGACTTTACCGAAAGAACCAGGAAAATCAATTCCTGCAGTCACGAAAGTTTTAAGTCATCATCTCAGACGAACACAAATCTCGCGTACTCAGCCACACGGTCACTTGCAATATCAACATCTGACATCGCTTGCTGCGCCCTGCCTGCAGCCCGTCGCTTATCAACACGAGTCAGCGTTGTTGCCTCGCCTTCACTATACCCCATTTGTATTCCTTATCGTTTCTCACTTTTTTTTCCTGTCTCGCTTTCCACCACCGTTGTTCGCTCTGCCAACCCCACGCGGAACACCGTCATATATCGTTTGCACAGCGATTTGCTTAAATCGCAAGCGCTGTCATCGAGAGCGCGATTTCAACGGACGGAGCATCCACACCGATTGCGCGCATGTCCACGCACGTGTGGGGGGGGGGGGACATGTGTGCGGGTGTTGCGCATTGTAAGGGGCCATCCATTGAGTAGGTACGCAAGAATCTGTCAAAACTTGACACCCCCCCCCCTCCCTGTACGCACTCGTACTTTTTACACCCCCCCCCCACCACCTGCGTACGTACGCTTGACGCACCCCCGCCCCCCCGAATCCTATAGAATGGCCGATATTTGAACCACGCAGAAACGATCAAGGATTAATAATATTAACGTGTTCTTGGTTCTTTCGGTAGCGTCACGTAGATTTCACACCTGATGATGATTGCTTGTGTTGCAGTCGAAAGTCGTGAGAACTTTTATTTTTTATATGTTTTATTATTTTATTATTTCCCTTCTACGTGACGTTTACCGAAAGAACCAAGATTATGAATCCCTGCAGTCACGAAAGCTTTAAATAAAAAAATATTAACGTGGTTAAGCAAACAGTCCACCGCCGGCTGCATTAAAGAATTAAGTTGCGTACCTTGGCCACTAATTTTACTGAGCTGCGTGATGGCTTGCAGTCAGGGGTGGCACACACGTGAGTAACACCTCTCCCACAGTGCCACTTCTCCCGCTAGTGCTTGTTGTCTGACAGCTGAAGACAGTGAACTGTCGCTCATTTGAAGGCCGATGTAGACAAATTATTATCGAGGCTTCACCCCCCACCACCCCCCCCCCCCGTTTCCTATGCGTACGTACATTGTCAGTAGAGCCCCCATACACAAGCGTACGCATTTGGGTTAACCCCCCCTCCCCCCTCCATGCGTACGTACTAAATGGATGGCCCCTAAACCATCCACGTTGCCTCCACGCACACGCACCCACACGCGCACGTCTGCGCGGACCACGCGTGGACCCCTGAGGCTGAATGACAAACACACAAACACACACAAAAACACACAAACACACACAACAACAACAACCGCCATTCGCCACTAAGTGGCGGTGACGTCACCACGACGCTTGTGCCAGGCCAAGTGCACCTTGAGGCCACGTGAAGTGTCGAACGCCCGCTGGCAGGAGGTCACGGGGTAGACCCAGGTGCCACGGGTCGACTGACCGAGATGACCGAGATGACACACAAACACACGCGCGCATTTTGACACAAACCGGAATTTCACCGGAGTAGAGGGAGGAGGCTATGATGCGTCGTATCCCCCTGACGTCTGTATATTGGAAGTTTGCGCGTCTCTCTCCTCCTCGTGGTCGCATGGATTTTTCTGCGGGTCCTCCGGGTTTTTCCCCTTCAACGTTTAGAAACACGCGTTTAGAGTAGTTGGCTGCGAT